GGCCTGCTGTCCATGCAAGAAGACGCCTCACTCAATACTACAGAAGTGCAGGAGGCCATTCCCGAACTCGAAGATTATCCAGTGTGCCGCACGAAGCTGTCGCTGTCCGCCCTGCTGCCAGGTGTGCCCCGGAGTGTCAACCATGGCTGTTTGAGCCTTCCATAGTAAGCGGCCTGCTCCGGGGCCGAGTTCAAATGTACATCCTGGACGTTGTTCGAAGTACTGAGCGATGTCCGCGAGACGGGAAAGTAAGTGGAACTCGTCGCCACTTGATGCCTAAATACTCCGTTGCTCGCCTATACTTCGCTTAGCGAATCATCGTCGCAAATCTAATGGATACTGTTCAGAATTCGGGATGTCTATTGCGTCCGTTCTGAGGTCAGGGTTTATGTTGTCTAGAGAATAGATTTGTGAGGCGTCAGGGTGGAATGCATCTGCGACGACGGTACCAGTGGTGGAGCGCCGACCACCGGTAATACGAGCAGGTGTTCGCTGGGATTTGTTGGCCTGCGACGTCACCGCTCGCGTGTTAGAAAGACTGACTGTGCTATTATCGCTCTGATCAGGAAGAGCCCTAGTTCTGTATTACGGACGAAGTGCCCGATATGAGTTGGAACGCACCGGAGACGATGAAGGTCGGGAAGAAGTCCGACAGCACCGAGCGGCAGAGAGGCCGTCTCTTTCCCTCCCCCGACACGCAGTCTTCCTTCAGACATGTCTCTATAACTCCAGTCCTATGCTGCATATGCGGACGTCTTCTCTCCTGTGCTCCCGTTCAGTTAGCCATTCCATGCACGCCACTCTCCGTGTATCGTCTGGCACGCGCGCGACCACGACCGTGGCCACTTCGTCCAGGGTTCGGCTGCCTCGTCTTCCAGTCCCAGACCTCCACAGGACACTCCAAGGCTACCTAACATCTCTCGAACCGTTCCTCCTCGAGGATGACGCGAAGGGTGTGTCCAAGTATTCAGATGCTCTCGCCGTGCGCAAGCGATGGGCAGAGGACTTTGAGCACGGACTTGGAAGCGTGCTACAGGAACGTCTAAAAGGTGTGTGTGCCACAAGCCTTCCCTATAACCAGCAGTCTCAACCGCAGAAGCACTTGATAGGGTCTCGCCTAACAATTGGCTAGATGACAACATCTGGCTGAAGAAAGCGTACCACGAGTGGCGCGCACCACTGCTCGTTAATTCAAACTGGTGGCTGGCCGTGAAGTATGACCAGAGCGTTCCCGAGGAGATCATTCGTGGGACAGCTGCCGGAGAGGACATCGGAGGGACAGGCCTGAACAAATGGCAGATCCGAAGGGCTGCCTGGTTCTCCTGGCGTGTATTGGACTTCAAAGCCCAACTGCAGAGGTATGTACACGCAGTATACCGTATCGAAGAAGTTGCATTATACTCTATACCAGGCAGGAGATTTACCCTGACTCGACCAAAACTGGTGCGCATTATGCTATGAGTCTCGTCAGTTTGCGACCAACCTTTCGCCTTTAGGCGTATGGTTCCGCACGTCCACCGACAGGATATACAACACCTGTCGCATTCCTCGGCCTGTATGCGACGAATTTGCAGAGGTCCCTCCGCCTACCCTGTCGTCGGCACGCACCTTGCTGGTCGCCATACGCGACTGGTTCTATATCCTGGACGTAGTAGATGAACACCAAAGCCTCGTATCGCCGGCGGAACTTGTATATACGCTCCACGAAGTTGTCGAGGACGTGTCCCGAAGGCTGAAGCAAGGAGACGTCGCCGTTCCAATCTCGGTCCTCAGCGCGGACCATAGAGACCGATGGACAGAGGTGCGTCCACTATTTAGAAGTCGGGAAATGTGATAGTTGACTGGGACGTTTGTGCAGAACTATGCACACCTTCTGACGCTGTCGCCTCAAAACCGCGATAATCTTACGGCCATAAACCATTCTATCATCGGCCTCAGTTTAGATAACTACACCTACACCCTTCCGTCGCAACCCCCTCACGGACCACTGCCCCCTCCGGACTCTGCAGAAGAAGTCGAAGCACACCTGCATAACATTCGCTCCTCGCACACCGCGCACCCAGGTCGGAATCGCTGGCATGACAAGCCGCTAACTCTCATCGTCGAGTCAAACACGCGTGCGGGTGCGATGGGTGAGCATTCCCCTGTGGACGCTCTTGTTCCCAGCATTGTCTGCGACTATGGTGCGGTTCAGGACATGCACGACGATTTCTTCAGAGGCCCTCCACCTAGAGCTGTAGAGTCTACTGACGTCCCGCTTCGTCGTTGGAGGAGACTCGACTTCGTCGTGGATGACCACATACGGCGCGAATGCGTCGAGGCTGAGGAACGTGCGCGTAAGATTGTCGAGGACTCGGATGACAGCTTCCTCTGGTTCAACGCGTACGGTTCCGAGTGGATCAAGAAAGAAGGTACACTATCGTAAATGTTGATTCAATGCACACCTGACAGTGATATGTAGCCCGTCTCTCGCCGGACGGATACATCCAAATGGCATTGCAGCTTGCCTGGTACCGCATGCAGCGCTCCTTCACGGCAACATACGAGACGGCATTAGCTAGGTTATTCCAGAACGGCAGGACGGAAACGATACGTACGCTCAGCGCTGACAGCCGTGCTTGGGTGCTTGCAATGAACGAGCCGTCGGTGTCGGTATGTCCTATACTACTACATCTAGTATTGTCCACTGACTACTTACCGCGGTGTAGGCGCAAACGCGCTATGCGCTCCTGCAATCCGCTCTCCAAACACATAGCAGCCTCACGCGTGCCGCCGCCAGAGGGCATGGAATAGATCGCCATCTCCTGGGCTTGCGCTGTATGATGCACGGGAGTGAGCAGCATGAACTTTTCAGTGATGAGCTCTTTGCACGCAGCCAGACATGGAAGCTCAGTACAAGTGGTCTCAGTGCAGGTGACCAGTTCCGTGGCACTGGGTTTGGGTCACCAGAGCATGATGGATATGGTGTCAACTGTGGGTGTTCTCTCATTGCTGCTCACCTGCTGCACTGCTCATTGCTCTCCAGACATGCTAGGTCCAGAGGTGATTAAGTTTGGTATTGAGTCTAAGTGGTCATGCTCCAAGACATCAACTGAGCTTTTCAAGGGTGCCCTTACCACTGCTCTTTTGGACATGCAGATATTGTGCATTGCTGCTTCTCAGACACATATCTAGACATTTTCCTTAGCATAGACTATTCTGAATACAAATCCAGTTCAACAGACTAAATACATGTGTGACTGTTGAAGTCCACAAAAAACTGTGCCTACGTGCTCGAGCACAAGAGCTGGCTGTTGAAGCCAGATAATCTACATAGATTGAATGCCTTTGAGCAATCAACTAAAAGTTGCCCTCTTCAATATCCTGCATGCTGATCCAAGCATCATCTCCACATGCTGCTGCCATTTTGCCAACAAGAGATTGTGCACCTTTACCACCTATGAGAAAATCCCAGCTTGAGCAAATGAACATAGCCTTCTTGCAGCGGCTGAGCATAACATTGGTTCGTCTGAGGTCTTTGAGAAAGCCTAGGTCTTTGGATCTGACTAGAGAGATGATGATATTGTCATCCTCATTTCCTGCAGAATATATTATAAATATAAGAATAACCTAAATCAAAGATACCCACCTTGAAAAGAGTCAACATTGAAGCATTTGTTATGCCAAGATAGACCAGCTGCTCTGAGATCATTTTCTAAGGTGCTTCTCTGGGCATCATATGGAGTAATGATGCGAAACTCTTCTTCTTCCTCTTGAAGCTTGGCAGCAATTTTGCAGACTGCCTTGCACTCACCAATGTTCTGCAAACATAAATAAATTTGAAATGAAAGAGAACAAGGACACTTTACATACCTCCCAGCTAGTCCCATTACGCTTCTCTGCACTTTCAGGGATATCCACAAAGAAGCAGGCAGGTGTAGTGATTTTGTGGTGAGATTGAAGCTGGCCATCATATACAGCCTCAGAGATGAACTTGCCAATAGAAACAGGCATACGATCTAGAAATAAGCAGCATTAATATCAAATAAAAAGGAAAAATTAATGTCACATACATTGAGTGTCCAAGAAAATAGCCTGTGAACGAAGATGGGTGATCTCAAAAATACTAGAAATATCTGGAATTTCTTCTTGTCCATAAGGAGGCACTAGGGAAATCATTAAATGAAGGGAATAAATTACAAAAAAATTGCTGCTTACATTGCTTGTCATCACCAATGAAGCACAACTTGTGAAGAGAGGGGAAGGAGTTGAGAGGAGGAATGTAATCAGACATAGCAATCTGGCTGGCTTCATCCACCACTATAGTTTTCACAGGGACTTTGGCAGTGAACAAGTGGATTTTGGGGTGGGAAAGCATGCTCAAAGTGCAGAGAATGACCTTGCAGCCATCTAGCTCTCTGGGAGCATATCTAAACTCATCAGATCTGATGATCTGAGGTGAAACAGCATGGTAGAGGTGCTCATGCCTTGAAATAACCAGGAAAAATTATTATTGCAGAATGTTCTTGTGGAATAAAATGCATACCAGTCAAAATGAAAATCCTTGGAGACCAAAAGCTTCCAAGGCTCAAAGCCTGTGTTCACAAGCTTCTCTGCAATGTTCTTTACAGCCACATTTGATTGGGCAACCAGCCAAATGCCAGCCAACCCAGCAGCACAGGCAGAATGAACATATGCCGTGATAACCTTGGATTTTTATTTTATTATCATGTACAATTTAACATGAGAAAAAACTGGCTCACTGTGGTTTTTCCAGTTCCAGGTGGACCATGGATGATGGACAAGCGAGAGTTATTGTCAAGTGTAAGCATGGCAACAACAGCCTTCTCTTGAGAGGGGTTCAAAGGCCTCTGGTCAAAGACAATGGGTGGAGGGTCAGGCAAAGTCTGCAATGACTCAGGCCAAATGACCTGCTGGCCATCAGGGTAAATTGTTTTGAGAAAAGGGCTCTCAAACAACTTAGATGTACCCTGAAGCATGGCAAGAATTACTGCAGCCTTCTCCTGTTCGGCCATAGTCTTCGCAGAAGGCCCAATAGACTGGACAGAGCTGACAGTCTTGTTTGCCATGAGGCCTTCGGCCTTGACAGTTGCAAGACGTCCCTGAACATCTCTAGCAGTCCCAGCAACAGTGTATTGGGCACCATATCTGTCTGTGACCATCATTTGGACCTTGCCCTACATACAGAATTAAAAGGAAGAACCATGAGAGTATATATACTCACAGCTCGGCCCTGGACACGGGTCTGGAACCTCTCAGACTGGAGCTTGAATCTGTCCTCAGTGGCAAGAATAGGACGGAACTCGTGCTTGGTTGAGCCGGGCTTGGCCGCATTCAGCTGCTGATCTGATCGCATGAAGCTGGCGAGAGCTTGAAGTTCCTAACAAGTCGCCGAGGTTAATAGAAGCTATTTGACGGTACATATGTCACACATACGTCTTCGGGCTTGACATTGGTGTCAATCTTCGACACCATACTAAAACGTTGCTCCATGTCGCTGATCAGTGGAAGGTACGCGGCGAGCCAGGCCTTGAAAGCAAGTGGAGACGGCTTGCGCTCGTCCCACACTTCGCTTCCGAAGGCCACATCGATGTTCGCACGGTGGATCCCGGAATACTTGGTCGAAGCTACTGCAAACTCGACCGCGTTTGCGATTACGCGGTTCGCTTTGCATGAGCAAGCGCTCTGTATGTCGATGGCGTTCACAACGGGCAAGCGATTGTCGCTGTACAGAGAAAGCGCGAGGGGTCCCATGTCGAACGCGTGGAGAAAATTACCGGGGCAACACAATAGCTCGTCCTTGAGCAGCTTCCTTGAGGCCTCGACGTCTTGCGATGCCTTCCCAGAATTGCGGAAGCGGATCAGTAGGACATGGGAAGCTACGGCGACAGCGAGGACGGTCAGTCTCCCGGTCGGTGCGTAAGCACCAGCGAGACCGACGGGACGAGGCTTGCGCTGCGTAAACCCCAGATAGCTGGCGAGCTTATCTGATGTGAGCTCGGTTTCCCAGAGGGTCTCGACGGCGATTCGAGGCGTAGGTGTGTCCAAGAAGTTTTGCTCGTATTCGCGGACTGTGGCGGGTGAGAGCGCCATGACGGAGATATAGCACCGTCGACAAGTGAGCTGACGGCAGGACGAAAGAGCCGTCTATTGCGCGAAAGAGGACGCGTGAGGCTTCGATAGGGCGAGAACGAAGCCACAAAGATAGAAGAACATTGAGCGATGAGTGCTCATTTCCGCTGCTCTGGCTGCTGTCTTTCCTTTCCCAGATAAACACCTAGCGCGCAGGACAGCTCGCTCGTTCTCGTGAAGTCGTCTTACAGCGTATACCAACAGCAGCCGTCCGGGGAGTTGTTCTCTGAGCTGCATACCTTGCGGGTGTCTCCCCTCACCCAAGCCATCCGGTCCAGCCGAATTGGCACACTACACAGAGCGGAAGGCTCTTAGTGAGACGTTGGGCATACTCTATATTGCCTTGTATACAGCATAGATACAGAGGGGGAGTGCCGCGGTGACATGGATGCGCACAACCTTAGTGTAACGACCACTTATCCATGCCTCTGCGCCGACGATCAATACATCGAGTTAGCGATTGCAGAATAGTATCTACTCACAGCGATGACCAACTTCTTGCAATATGCCTGTATGATGGTACCCCCTTCCCCCGTGTTCAGAAGCTGTGAGTCGCTGAGAGAAAATGGGACTCAGCCCACACGGTGGATGCAAGCGGCGACGGATGTAATATGACGCCCGTGACTTGGGACCGCGCCGCTGCAACTCTCACCTGAACTCTCTCCCAGCTCTCTGCTCGTACGTCTGCAGGACATACCAAGCCTGCAAATCCCTGGCCTGAATTGCTCAGCCTCCATTTCTCGTATGGCTACCCCGGTAATCCTCGGCGTTGGTGCCATTGCTGCCGCCTTTGCTGGTCGGCATTTCATTCGGAGAGCAGGAAGGGGTGCAGCGGAGGAGTTCGTGAAGGGTGGCTTTAAATCAAAGATGGACAGAAAGGAAGCCATTCAAATTCTCGGTCTCAAGTATGTTCATTATCTCTGTTCCCCGCTTCTTTGCCAACCAGAACTGTCTCCAGGGATGGGCCTTCGCTGAAGTCTAAGCTCAAGGACGCGCACCGGCAAATCATGATCTCCAACCACCCAGATCGTGGTGGCTCGCCGTACCTCGCAAGCAAAATAAACGAGGCGAAGGATTTGCTGGAAAAGGAGAGCAAACGGTGATATTGGTTATCATACCGTATGCCTCCGTATTCTCCTCCTCGGAGACGAAACATCCATTCGATGACCAGTGTCTGCTTTAGATGACTATTCTACTGTATCATTCTGTAATAACAGCATACCACCCCATTCAGCTTCAAAGTCTCTCTGGCCAATGTCCCTTTAATCGCTGCTGACTAAGCAGGCCAAATCCCTACCTGCAACTTTCGCGATGTCTTCAACGAGCGACCTCAACCCTTCTAAACTCGGCACCAAGCAACAGTGTGTTCACTATTTGGTCGATTTGTGCCTTTGATACCAAGTTTCTTCAAGCTGGGATGATGTCTATGCGACCGAGTTGACCAATTTCAAGGAGATCGGTGACGAAGGAGAAGTCTGGTATGTCCAGGCTATGAACCATTCAGCATGTGTCGGATGCATATTTTATCAGGTTTGGCGAAGATAGTGTGGAGAAGATGGCCGACTGGGCACAGGACTACATCGCGAAAGATCCGGCTCCCTTAATCCTCGAAGTCGGTGCAGGCAATGGCATCCTGCTCTTTACCCTTCAGGAAGCAGGGTACAACGGCAGTCACATCCTTGGTATCGACTACAGCGAGGACGCCGTGAAGCTTGCCCGTGCTGTTGGCGCGCATCGAGGCGACGGGTGCGAGAATGTCAGGTTCGAGACATGCGACTTCCTGAAGGACTTCCCTGCTCCCCTAGTGGATATAGAGAAGGTGGGGTGGGACCTTGTATTGGACAAGGGTACGTTCGATGCGATTGCGCTTGGGGAGAAGGATGTCGAAGGGAGATCGCCTGCCGACGGCTACCCATCGCGGATAGGGCAAGTGGTCAAGCCTGGTGGATATTTCCTCATTACATGTAAGGGCTTGCGTTGGCATTGCGCTTCCGTTCGTCTCTGATTCGCGCAGCGTGCAACTTCACCGAAGACGAACTGAAGGCGAAGTTTACCACTACAGGAACGGGTTTGCGGTATCAGTGCGTCGTCGATCATCCTGCTCTCTTCGTCTGCTCTAACGGAGTGTTATTAGCTCACGCGTGCCCTGGCCGACGTTCTCGTTCGGAGGACAGAGTGGAAACGTCTATGCCACCGTCGCATTCCAGAAGCCATCATAATCGTAGCTACTGACTATCAAAGAGTTATATACGCTGAAAGCAAAACGTGCCGCCATGGTTATATGAACGTCACAGGCCCGCCACAATATCCACACCCGTCCTGAGTGTGCCGAGAGCGACCTTATTCGCCCACTTAAGGAAATCATTTTCGCCTGTTTCCCCCGTTCCGTGACAGAAAACTTCACCAAGGAAGTAAATCAGGCCGTACGCAAGTGTCTGTACCCGTGTTACCTTGATGAACACTTCTTCGATGGGCCCTCTGTTCCGGGTGGTCGGGAAGTCTTCTAGGTCGGAAGTGAGCAGCGGTGTTGAGAGCTGGGTGCTGATAAGGAGATGCGTGAAAAACTCTTTGAAGAAGCGTTGTGTCGGCGGTCTAATGGTTGTAAAGTCGACGGGCTAGAGATGACATTTTAGATGGTTACGGGGGCATGACAACCACGCGAGCATATACCTTCAGGATCGCTAGCGTGCAACAGTCCTTCGCCAACCACCACGCATACACTCTCGCAACATTTCTCATTCTCGTATCCGAGATCTTCTTCACGTCAAAGCCAACGACGTCATCCCCGATGTTCTTGAGCACCTCCGCACCTCCGACGTTCGTCTCGCCAAGGTCACGCAGAAAGTCCCACAAGCAGAATTGAAGGGTGATCTTGTATGAATGCGCATTCCGGCACAGATGTTGGATGACAAAGGCGTAGTACGGGTTGAAGAACTTCTCATTGCCGCAGCAGTGCAGAACGACGCGGACGATCTCGCGTTGCTGAACTTCGGTCAGCTTGAGCTGTGACAGGCGGTCGCAGGCATCGACATAGTCCTATGGAGGTGAACTTCATCAGTATCCGTCGCAAGTCTGAGCACAGGGCACCCACCTCGCTGCTCATAAGAACCACAAAGACACTTCTGCGGATGTCTGTGTTCATGCCTTGTTCCTTAGCTAATTTCAGAAGCACGTTCTCGGTGGGCTCCATCTTCTTTGCCAAATCGCCGCCTGCGTTCTCTTGCTGACGATCGACGAGCGGATCTCCGCCCCAAGCTGCACCGACAAGCCACCATTTACCCCTACTTTCGGCGGAGTGGAGATCCTCCAGCGAGACACGTAGAGGTTCATGAGTCTTGACTGAGCTGATGTCAAAAGTTTACATACTCTAAGACAACGTGATGCGTACCATGCTTCTTCTTGTTCAGTCCACTCAGGAACTTCTTCATCCTCTCGACAGCCTCCGAGCCAGCTAATCCTGCTGCGCCACTAGCAACCTTCTTCGCCTTGTTATTCTTCAAGCTGGTCAGTGTCTCGACCATGAATCTCGTCCTCGAGCTCATCGTCTTCGAGTCCGACGGCAATTTCGTGTGGACAATCTGGATGATGTCCTTGAGAGCCGTCGGATCAACCGAGCGCAGCTGCTGGCCTGCATCGCGCGCAATCCTGAGGACGAGCTCGACGCGCAGCTCATTAAGCTGCTCGGAGAGAAGGGTGCGGATGAGGTCATACATAAGCACATGAGAGATGACGCTGAAGTTGAAGAGCTCTGATAAAAGAACAAGGAGATTGGAAGCTTCCTTTCCACGGGTGTCGTCCTGTGTTCCTTGACCATCTACAGCGGGGGACTCGCTCGTGAAATGAGTCTCCGCAGACGTAAGATGCTTCTCGTAAGACGCGACCACATTTTGGACGAAGTAGGCAGCTGAATCACGGAGGCTTAAGCGACATTTGGGGTGAGCCGTGTAGCTTAAAAGACATACCGAACTCGACGCCCACTATTTTATGCAAGGCAGCTACGAACACAGCATGAAGAACCACATAGGTGTCGAGGAGCATGGAATGCGAGGATATGCCGTCCACAATGAGCGCCGTGAGCGTAGAAGTGACATCTGTGAAGGATACAGCGCGGATGGACATGCTGTTTATGAGCAAAAGTGTCACAGATGATGCCGTAGACTGAACGCACCGTTTCGTCTATGGTTCCTATAGATCTCCTCCACGCCATCGAGAATGGACGAGATGTTCTGCTCGCTCATCCTGTTGAGTAGACCCTTGAGCTGCCTTTGCAGCTTCATCTGCTCCTCTGAGAGCTTTTCCGCCTCGGACCCGACTGGGCGATTGCGCAAGTGCGGTGGGATGTATCGTGCGCCTGGTATAGGTTGCTGTGAGGTAGGCTTAGGTTGAGATGGAGAGCTAGCGGTATCGTCCTGAACAGCCTGCAAGGAGCCACTTAACCCTGTCCATTCTTCCTCTTCCACTTCGTCTTCTGCTGAACCTCTCGCACTTCTCGAGTCGTCATAGTCCGTCTTTTCATCGATTTCGCCTGATGAGAAGACTTCCTCTTCCACTTGCTCATCCTCGCCTTCTCCTTCACTATCTTCCTCTTCGACATCCGTCCACTCCATCTCTTCGTCTGCACCTTCTGAGTACGCATCATTACCCTAAAATGACTCTAAATAAAACGCAGACAAATTATGAACGTCTGACTTACAGGACCAGCCGAGAATATCGTGGCCTCAAGACTGTCGATGCCTTGCAGCAAGTCTGAAGACAGCCTGTCAGAGGACCAGAAGAAGCGTAAGGAGCAGGTATAAGTACTCGCCACCTAAACCATCATCTTCTAACCCTTTACCATACTTGCTGGTCCTCGAACCCCCTTTACTCCAGCCGAGTTTGCTCTCGAGGTACGCGATATATGCATCCTCCTCCTCCTCTTGCTTCGAGCGTGCCTGACGTATAGGCGGGGCACCGTCAGACCTGAAAGAAGAAGAGCCCGTGTGCGCGGCGAGCTTCTCAAGTGCGGTGGGTCCGTTTTTCTTGAGCCTCAGCCTTACGTCCTTCGCTGAGGTGCTTGAGGTAAAATTCTCCCTCGTAAACAGTCTCGCAGAGGGTTCGTCCTCGGCGACGAACTTGACCTTCTTGCGCTTCGAAGACTCAGCATGCTCCCGCTCTGCTTGACGCTTCGTGCCTGACGCCCCCGCCCTCGCAACGCTACTGACAACCTGTCTCTCCTTGCCTTTACCCTTCGCACTCGGATGGCGTGCATCTACCTGAGGTTGGGGGCGGGCAGCACCGGTATCGTGCTGTTTTATATAGTACTGGGTCTTCTTTACTTTCTTTTGTTCTCGCTCCTGTTTCCTGGCTTCTTTGCGCGAGAGTTTCTGGTGCGTGCCATGGCGTCCACCTGGACGGCCAGCATTGCCTGCAGATAATATTGATCAGTTTTTGCGACATCAAATACATTGAGCCACAAGGCGTGAATATCATTTACCCGCGGTTGGGTCAAGCTCCTCGAGGAGACTTTTGGGGAGTGAAGGGCCCGGATGTCCGCGAACCATGACGGTAAAGAGGAACGCACAAAGCGCTAGAAGGGCGCATCAAATCTCGGAAGATCACAGAAGATCGGCGGGGGTATTGATAAGCGCTCCGTTTCCGAAGCTTGTCCCTCTCCACCGCTCTGTGGTGTTCTTTACACTGGAGAAGGAGGAGATGATACAGTTACTGCCACAGACAGCCTTCCTGTCGGGCTCTTCAATATTCTACCGCCCCGAGTAGACATTCAATATTAATCGGCTAAGGCGATCAGGTGAGATGGGTTGCGTGCCTTGTCCGTCTTTGTCGTGGGTAAGTCAATGAAGATCGTCCCGGAGCAAACGACTGGTTCTGCTCATCTAGCCAGTGTCTTTCAGATTTAAAGCGGTTGACGCGAAACTTGTTCACCCCGCATTGATTCAATGCCGTGCAAGCTGGCATTTATAGCGAGGCGGGGCTGTGCGCCGCCTCGGCTCGGAAGCGCCAACCGCCGCCGCCGCCGCCGCCGCGGCGCCGCCACCAGTGGGCGAGAGATCATTCAGCCCGGCCCCGATATTGGGCGCCCGCTAGAGCAGCTGTTGACAGCGGGGGGCTGCCAGTATAAAAGCATGCATCAAGGGTGAGCGTCCGATTCGAGAGGCTTTGGTCTCCCGTCCTCCCCACCTTATTTTTTCCACTGAGAATATTTTCCCATCGTGTGCTTTCCTGTTCCGCCATTTGTGGCCTGTCGACAGTTCAGTCTGATGTTTTCGAAGTCTCTTGTCATTAGCGGCGTTCTCGCTGTCGTGCTGTTTCGTGCCAAGATCGTGTCTGCTCAGGGCACAAATGTGACATGCCTTCCTCAGTACGGCTGGGTATGTCTCCTTCCTGCAGTCAGATGCCTTTACTAATGTCTGCGCAGATGGACAACTCGCGAGGCCAGAATCCATGTCTGATCACTGCCTACCTTAACTCGGCGTGTCTCGCCGATCCAACGGACGCATACGTTTATTCGCTTCCCGATGATTACCACTATACGTCTCCAGCTGTTCAGTTCGCCACGCCATGCCAATGTAGCACTGTCTTCTATAGTACGATCGGTGCGTGTGCGACATGCCAGAACAGGGAAAGTCTCCCGTATGTCTGTATGGAGTCTGTTGCTGCTCGTTTGCTGACGTTGGACAACAGATGGTTGACCTGGCAGACGAACTGCTCGACGGACTACATCGGTGTCTGGCCAGGAAATATTCCTTCTGGAACGTCCATCCCAGCATGGGCATATCTCGATGTCACAAGAACCGACGCGTTCAACGCCTCTGCCGCTCAAGCGAACGCAGCTCAAGACCCACCCGAGTCATCTGCCATTCCTTCCGCAACTCCATCGATCGGGTTCTCTTCGCCTCTTCCCACGGCGACAGGCAGTGGCGCGGCTACTCCCCTTGCACCTTCTTCCGCTCCTACACTGCCCGCCTCATCGCCAGGTAAGAAGAGTAACACCGGCGCCATCGTTGGCGGCGTCGTGGGAGGTGTTGGCGGTGTGGCGATCATTGCTGGCATCATTGCGTACTTCATCATGAAGTCTCGCCAGAGCACTTCGGCAAACACATACGCCGCCAATGGCACGACCGCAGCTTCAGCCTCGACGTTTGGCCCCCACGACGACATGGGCACATCACACATCGAGAAGACCGCATTCGACGCAACAACCTATGCGGCTCCTGCACCCCTTACTACACCGCCTCCGTCGACTAGTATGTCAGTATACAATCCGAACGACCCGTCGACGTTCCCATCTTCCCCTGCGCCGATGAGCATGAGCGGAACGACGGTGTATAATCCGAGCCTTAACCAGGGTTATATGCCATCTAACCAGACCGGAAGATACTCAAGTTATTCGGGAGGATACACTGGTGTTGCTGAGGTGTGAGCAGTGCGAATCAACACGTCTAGCTGAGTTTGATTTCCGTAATTGGGTTCTCGCTGGACGTCCTTCCTTTGACCTTCTTCTCTATATGTTCATGCACTTCTACTCACTCTCTTTGTTGCATATCTTGAGTTCGCTAAGAATTTATTGTCACCTCCCTGTTCATTAATACTTCAAGTTATTTGCACCTGCGGTTTCTGTGAACTCGTATGCTCTTTCCCCATGTTCGGTGCTTGCGAGGTTCTTGCCAAGCTCGAGCGTCCCGTCGCTTTCGCATCGAGCGAGCTGAGCGCCCAAGCTAATTCGTTGCATGGCCGCCCTCATCCGCTCGGTACATCGATGCGGACACGTCAACATATCGGTATCGACGATTCTCTGCGGTGCTTGTCGCTGCAATATTGGTAAGAATTAGGGTATACCTATGACAGGGATCTTCTCGACCCTCACGCTGCTGTGGGTGCTGTCGTTCATTTGAGAATAAGGCGGCAAGGATCACGTAGCTCAGGCCTCCATCTGTCACTGTCAGCTCCGAGCTGGCACCGAGCGCACGCCAAGATAACACCTTTTATTCGATGACCGGAAACGAGGCTATACATGGGCCTCGAAAACGCAATCTATTATACAGTGCGTGGCCGGCACCGTACACCTTTGCCTTGAGACATAAGCCTACATAGCTAAACGTTAACGTGTCTGCGGACGCCGTAGACCAGGTCCAACGGCTTAGGCGTCTATAGAGCGCTTATATAACCGTCTTGGCGCCCGGCTTGTCGTTATTGATGGCAACTCCGCAGCTGCTTTTCTTCACCTCTTGCTGTGTTCAATCACCAGCAGAAAGGTGGTAAGAAATATTGAGATATGGGAGCGGTAGAATGCAACTCAGCCTAATATTTTGCGATATTTTGACATAGATCGCAGTATAAGGCAAAATTCAGCGTTTCGAACGCTTGAGGTTGCAAGTATTGCAGTCTTTCCGTCTTACTCTTACTATATTTGAAAATACTGATGACGCTTCTTTGCATGTAGAGTACCACACGGGCTAATCTGCCCGTGTATCTGATATCTCTATGCGCAGTACTATGCTGTCGCATGGCCCTGATCTTGTTCATTCGTGCGCAGAGCACATTTCTCCTTTTTCGATGTGTGGTTCGCGGCTTTTCTGATGAATAGCCTGTACGCGGATTAACTGTGAGTTCTTCCATCCGTCTACTGAATACGTTTTCGTCAGAAGCCCGAACTTAGCTCTCATGTGAGCTTTGAACGTTCACTCAGGTGATCCTGTTTTGTCCTCATCAGCGTACAATCCGTGCACCCCGGGGCAGAATGATCCTCCGCAGCGCTCCCAGAGCATAAACACGCTGCGTTGAAGAAGCACCGCCATTATAAATGGTGGCGTGGAAGAAGCACGCTCTCCGTGAACGTGCCGGCGCAGTCTTCGTCGGCAGATTGAGAATTGTGAGCTAGCGCAGAGATGGTAGAGGTCGTCACAACTCACAAGCACGGTGCTGAATGCCCTACCGCGGCGAATCGGCGTTTGCAGATTTAGATCGAAGGTCGAAGCCTGTGGCGTCCAACATAGCTGCAGATTCTTAAGCAGACGCGTCGGCGGTGGCCGCCATCGGGCAGAGGATGTCATGTGTTGCAGGAGGCACCACAAAGGCGCTGAAAGGGAGCACGATGATTGGTAGAAGGGGTCACCCCTTGTCCTCCACATTAGCATCAAGCGATACGCCGGGCGTCCCGACAACGCTCATGCCGGGAGTCTAGTTTGCAAACCGCTTCAGACGGCTGCGGGAAGGCGTGCGCCCATTCTCGTAAATTTGCACATGCTCTACTCATTCTGGTTGGTTTGCAGGGCTGCTCAGCCGGCGATGCGCGAGTATAAAGACTGCCAGATTGTGTGCGGTAAGAACAGCAGAGTACCGCAGCACTTGACATGAAGAACATCTTCGCTTCTTTCCTCATCGTCGCAGTCAGCATAGGCTGCACGGTCGCCGTACCGCAGCCTTTCTTTGTCAACACACCGTACGCATGCCTGCTCCGACCCCTATAGCCCTAAGCTCAGCCAACACATCTTGGGATGTTATTAAACAGCTCCAGCGTCACTGAATGTGTTCCCACCACGATTGAGTGGGCTGGTGGCGATAGTGAGTCGAAGCGATTGTGCATTTTGAAAAGCGTGTTGACTATTATCGCAGCTGACTTCACGCTGGCAAGTCGCATTCTACGGTATCACTGAGACTCTAACTTATTCGCTGCCTCCCGCGTGCTTCAGACGTGAGTCTTTCGGAACTGTTTTAGATGGTCCTTACTGACCGGTGACTCACGTTCTACCAGTGTTATCGCCAACGGCGACGAGTTTGCGGCGTTCAGCAACATCAATAGCGACAGCTTCACCTGGGCTACTAATGTTCCTAGCGGTGAGCAGCTGCGAGTGAATGTTGCGGGGAATCTGACGTCTCATGAATCTCATCGTAGGTACTGTTGTCGGGTTCACTGTTACCGACGACGCGGGCGATCAAGTGGAAACCGCCCTAGTTACTGTTCAGCCTGGTATGTGATGATGCCCTTACCCATGAAATGACCAATACTGATTGAGCGATAGGCTCCAACGCTTGTATTTGAGATGAACCTGTGTACTGTGCTCCTGCAGACAGAGCTTTGGGACAGATCTCTCGGGGATCTCTTGTAGGGGTGCCAGACCTCAGTCGAGATACAATGTCTTGTACGATAGCGTGCCATGATGCGTCAGCGTGTGACTTACTGGGATTGAATCAGCTAACATTTCACTTTGAACACCGTGCTTAGCTGTGTATAACGACATACTCATGTGAGCCAGTCCTCGACGCCAGTGGTAAGCAGAGGGGGCTAAATATCAGTAGGCCACTCGCAAGCTGCCCAGAACTGGCAGTACTAGTCCCAAGACATATATCCAGTAGTATATGCCGTGCAGTGAAAGTTAGTCATATCATATACAGCTCTGTTGAGTGTGTCGCTGGTGAATCGGTGCTTGTCGACGATTAGGCCCGTCTGCAGACGTTGCAGACAGCAGCGACGGTGAGGGGTGTACAGGGTCCCACTTATCAAGCGCTTACGTCAGTGGCTTGACACGTCGCCAGCCGCCTGCTTTCTTTCGTGCAGTCACTCATGCGGATCGCGCCTCTAGGCTCTACGGTCTCAGCCAGCCAGCATGGTGAGATGCTCTCTTTTGTATTGTTCCATCGCATGTTGCTAAAGCGAGTAGTCTAGGCGTGACTGACAAGCTATGCCTGAATTAAGGGCCAAACGACCATCTGCTCCGATCTGAGTGCACGATGGAAGACTCCGTCTGTGCGCATCGTCTCCGTCGTTTAACTTTACGCATCACAATACATGTTGCGTCACCTTGGACAGAACCCGGCAGCGAGCCGGAAGGGCCAGCGCGTCCAGCCCAAAGCCATGCCCCCGCCGGAGCCTAACTTTGGGCGACCAATGTCTATGTGTACCTGACACGCCTGTCAATGCAAGCCATCGCCCCGTCGGTCTGATCCGCTTGCCAAGGACTGGCTCAACTCGGTGATCTACTCTCCCTGATAAGGTGTAGCACGGGATAGTACTTCAATATACTTTATAGACGAATATCCCCGCACGAAAGGCGCGAAGGACCAGTGTGCCTTTCGTCTCTCCCTTTCTTGAAAGAGACGCAACCCTGCTCTCACAATGCATTCCATCGGGGCCAGCGGAGACGTTTTCTGGTCCAGGGCGGGACAAGGGTTGCTGATTATCTTGCTCGTGTGCCACTGGTTCGGAGGATTTAGCGGAGCGACACCATTGCTACCCGTACGTGTCTATATTTCACTGCTACGCTGAGCTTTCTGAATCTCGTTTCAGGCTGATATTGACAACGGCACATCTGGGACGGGGAGCGAAGCCGCGCGGGTCATGGCGAGGCGCGAGCCTGCACCAAAGACACAGGACTCGGCCCCGACAGACTTCTCGATATCAGCTCCCGCCGTCCCCACCTACTCTTTCCCCTCCTACTCATACTCAATGCCCGATTGGCTATCTTCAATAACCGACCCGTCGTACTCCATTCCTCCAGACTATTTCTCTGCTACTTCATCATGTGATTCCTTTGATACTCTCATTGGCACTTGCTTGACACCAGATATTCCGATGCCGACGTATTCTTTTCCTATACCCGACAGTGGCGGGGACGGAGGCAAGAAGAACGCGGACTCGGTGGTGCCCAACATATCAGAGGTCGGACATGCGATGAAGACGAGCCTCAAGAAAATCATTGGTGTTGTGGTCGGCAGCGTCCTCGGCCTTTTCGGTTTGGTTTCTTGAGAGGACTGTGGGCGGCGCGCAAGAAGAAGGTGAAACGCAAGAAGGGAAACTCCGAGACGGACGATCCGGAAAAGATCGCGTTGCACGGGCGCATGCATAGCACGAGTACACACTAGGCTATCAGTATGGCTATGTCCCGTCTGAACAAGTTCCGCTCATGGCGGCGGCGGGAGGATACCCTGCACAGGTGAGTTATCTGCTGTGCCTGCCAAGCGTGCTGTATGGGCGCTCATTGAACATGCAGCCATATACCCCCACGCCCTTTTAATGGTGCATTACTGCGCCTTCGAACATCGAGCTTCAGGTCGGGCAAAGTGCAACCGTTTATAACAGACACATGTTATTATTCAACAATATATTCAGACAGTCGATCGATTCGGTAGATCTAAAAGATAGAGGAAAGAGTGCTAAAAGTAAAATCCCTTTCGGGACGATTTTGCATATTTTTCCAAAAGACGAGACCGAAGAGGAACAGCTCAAGTTGGAGGCTTCAAAGGTGAAAAAACGGGTGCATCTGGGCGAAGTTGAGTCGGTTTGCCAGCACGAGGGACAAAGACTGGGGCGTTACGGCTGAGCGAAGAGGCGGGAGGGGCGACAAGGCTGGTACGGGGAACGAAGACAGCTGCATCAACGCGGAGTGAGGATGCGGTCGACACCGGGGCTGCAGTCGACGGCGCAGAGAAACCGGCGAAAGCAAAGGCTGAGATGAGGTCGGACTCGAGGTTCGCATCGTCATCGTAGCAGTGAGCGCAGAATTCGCCAGAGGAGCAGAGCGGCTTTGCAGGGCTGGCTTGTTCGGGAATGTGCTCGAATATGAGGACGTCATCGATCTTGACAGAGGCAGTATGACCTCGAGATGACGCGTCAAGATCATCGAATAGGTTGTTCGGCTAGCTCTGGCGTACCATTTAGAGAGCTCCTCCCGATCATTTCGGCGTCGCTAACCTCCACCCTTTCATCTTTCTCCTGTGGGTCCGCCGACGGAGTAGAAGAGGCCTGCCCGGCAGTGTTTGTAAGCCATACCTAGCGAGCGTCCGACACGTGAAGTACGTACCTCGATCATCGCCGGCCATGGTGCCCTCGAAAGGAGACGGCCGACAGCGTTGCGAGCTTTGGCAGAGTCGACAATATCATAAACAGCTGGACAGAAGCGAGAAATTGTAACATGCTTGGAACGGCCCGCTCGGACAACGCGCGCGAGGTGAGATGTCGAGGTGAGATGCAAACCAACGAATGAAACTAAAGCCATTTGACGTGAGTCTCCAGGAGGCTACGGGTAGAGAGCGAGGGACGTTGCGATATGATAAAGAGAGAAAGACTTTTCGTGATGAGGAAAGAAAAGGGCAAGGAACTGGGGTGGGCTTATAAGTATGTCCCTGGAGGCTGCCAGCATGGTTTCGATCGAGGCTGATAAGAGCCGGTGCAGAAGGCGCGATACTTTTCCGCCCTTTCTGCTCTTAGACTTGAGAAACGTTTCATCCATGTAGTTTTCGGTCAATGTCCTGGGGCTGAAGATGATGGAACGGAAAGAGTCCGCCTAATGCTCAGTCCCATCAACCTTGTGGCGTCCGCTGAAGCGCCCTAAGCGCACAGGCCAGCTATGTGGTGGCCGACCGCGGCCTGGGTTCCCGCCTCTCACTGTGGAGAGATATAGTGCGATAGCATAGTGTAAAGTGGAGACTCGTAGTGTCATGAGTCATGAGTAGATACAAAAAATCATGAAAATGGCATGAGTGGCTAGGATAAATTAAGAGTGTTCGTACTAATTTTGGACGATAGCTTGCGCAAGTGCTAGCACTACTGGATCAACCAACGATAGCGTCAACTGCCTCCTCAAGAACGACTTTTGGTTGGAGTAGCAGTCTCCGTTCAAAACTCTCGCCGTCATCTTTCTCTGCGGAACCATAGTTCTTTCCGCGGCGGGTGACGCACTTGAGCCCGAGCTCTGTGGTGCAAAGCACCTTCTCGCCCTCCCGACTCGCGCCTGGAGCATGTCCATCGGAGAAGGCGTTGCTCATGTTGGCGCCCTCGAAGACAGCGCCGGTCTCGGCGAGCACGACCTCGAAGTTCGTCGAGAGGATGTCCTCCCGGGTGACGAGCGAGAGCTTGTACACGGCCTCGGCGATCCTCCGGAGCTGGGAGCGAAGGATGGATGTGGACGAATCGGACTTGTCCTTGGGGCTGCAGCCTGAAGCATCGAAAACGGCGGCTGCCCACTTGAGCATGGTGGCAACCAGCTCGGTAATGGCATATTCCTCGAGACCAGGGTAGAGGGTGCGGATCGAGCGGTGCGTGAGAGCACGCCAGCGCGAAGAAGTCGGTTGCGGCTCTGTGTAATTGTCATTAGCTGAAGTTGACGTTCTTGTGAATACGTGTACGCACCTGTGACGGCCAGCTGCGCGTAGACCCTGCCGAGCAGGCCGTCGAGCTTCGCCGGGAAACCCACACAGAACAGACTCAGGCTCCGTGCACAGCATGTAGCGACACTGGCCTGCAACGCAAGCTGTACCAACAACGGATCCGTCGAGTGTTCATGTGTTGTGAGAACCTTCGCAAGCGAAGGGCTCAGCCATGGCACAATATCCAAGGCTTCATCCAATCCCATCGTCGCTTGCGAGCCCGGCGGAGGTTGACCACGACCTCGTCGCCTCACAGAGGCGTTGCGGGGAAGGAAGACGCATGACTCCGTGGCAGACGCAGCAAAGTGAGTAATTTCAGCGTTGAGATCCTCCACGGCCTGGATAACCTGCGCGCCCGACCACGAGTCGGTCTTGGTGAGGAAGACGTCGAGACTGCGTGCATGAGCGATCGTCTCGGTCTCAGTAGTCATCGACGAGTAGATGGACGATGGTGCTTGCGAACGTGAACGACGGATGGACCCGGTGCGCTCTCGGGTCTGACGCTCCCGTTCTCGTTGTCTCTCGCGCTCGCGTTCCCTCTCGCGTTCCCGCTCGAGCTGCTTGTCGCGCTCGCGTTCGAGGACGAGGCGGTCTCTTTCGCGCTTGACGCTCTCTAGCTCTCTCCTCACCATGTCAACCTCTCGCACCCTCTCGGATTCCGCTCTCTCCGAGTCGAGCCGTTTGTCCTTCTCCCTCTCCCTCTCGACCAAAATACGATCCCTCTGCTGCTTCAAAACCTCAACCTCCTTCTCCCTTGTTCGCAACAGCTCCTGCACCTCCTTCAGCGACCGCTCGAGCTGTTTGCACAGCTCCACAGGTTTCATGCGTCGAGGAGGAGACTCATAACCAGGCATGTTAGGCACAGGTACGGGCAGTGGGGGAGGAGACGCGACGGGTGGAGACGCGGAAGCCGAGGTCGTCGAGGCGTACGATCTGCGATTGCCGTGGTTTGTCCTGCGATGACTCCGATGTCGCGGCTGAGGCTGCTGCTGCTGGGGATGGGGCTGCTGGGGCTGCTGGAACTCCGCGTTGCGACGTGGTGGGGAGCGAGGGCCCTGCAGCTGGCGCTGGACGGATGGTTGCTGATTTTGGTGCTGTTGCGGCTGATGCTGCTGCCCGCGCTTAGGCGGCAGAGGCCCAGACTGCGGCTGGGGTTGGCGCTGTGACTGGCGCCTCGCGAGCGGTGTCTGCTCCTCCTGCGCCCTCGCGGAGGGCAGCCAGCGCTCGTACTTCTGCTGATGCGGAGGGCTCGCTTCAGCCGGCTGGGAGCGTACCTGCATCACCTCCGTGCGTGTAAACGTCACCGTCTCCCCGGTCTCCTTCCGCGTTGTCGTCGTCGTGCTGAAGTACTCCGTGGCAGTGTTGTATCCCGTGGACGGCGACTTTGGTTCGGCGGGGAAACCAAGGAGGGGCGTTGGCGGCGTGCGGGCGGAGGACGGTGGCGCACGGATCCCGGGATCGGCGCCGACCACTGTTTTCGAAGACGTGGTGGAGATACTCTCTGGTCGCTTGCGAGTCAGGGCTGCACGTTCCTGCTCTCGAGAAGCAGTAGAGAGGCGTAATCGCAAATAGCTGCACTCTCGTTGGAGGCGAGTGACTGGATCTTCAAGGTCTCGAGCTCGGTTAGGATCGCGATGCCGATCAGTGGCAGTATCGGAAGCCTTAGATGCTCGCGGTTGCGTTGATGTAAGCTCGACGCTAAGCAGTGAATCCGGGCTGGACGATCTGCTGTCGGGGAACGAGCTGCGAAGAGAGAAAAACTCGACCGTGGTCTGCTGGTCTGGCAGAGACGGCGAGGGCGGTACGATTTGAAGCTGAAGACGCATGGTCAATGCGTGTTCGACTGAGCAAAACGCTCCTCGGTGTGAAGGAGGCGGAGAATTAGATGGGTGGGTTGGGGCGTACCTGTGGGGGGAGGAGTACCTTCTTGTATAATTGTTCGAGGGGTGACGCCTCGAAGCCGGGTCGTGACGGGGCAGACGGAAGAGCTAATGGGCGTGCCGCAGCGAGATCACCCTGAGCCTATTCTAGGACGTAGCTAACAAAGGGACGGATCGGGCATACGTAGATGCGGTTTACACACTGACTCAAACCGAAATGAAGACGTGTAACGGCCACAACCTGATTTCGAAACATTTAGTGGACAGCATAACAGCTGGATCAAGGAAAGCTCGACACACGCGAATTGGGGACGGGTCCCCAGAGATTCTCAGTGGCCAAGGGCGATGAGAGGAGGAGAGAAGCCTTGGCAGGCCGTGGAACAGCAAAGCCTCAAGGACTACACGTGGATCTAGCTCATGGCCATGGAATTCCGGAACCCTCAGATGTCGGAGCCAGATCTTGAAATGCATTGCCGACGATCTACACACCTGGTACCTGCCAACGAATGGCTGGGCTGTGTGGTGATCGCACTGGACGAAGCAGGCAAAGGACCGCTGGCCCCAGTGTGGCGCCGTAGGCTACTACCGGAAGATGCTTCGATTCCGCGCACTACCGTAGGCCTCGAGAGCTGATCCATCGCTATAGAGCGGGGTATCCTCGTTAGATGCTGAAAACGAGGAGGTAGAGCGGCCGATGATTCTTGTGTGGTGAGCTCACAACGGAAAGTCAGAAAGTCAAACTCGGAGTGAGCACACAGGGGCGCCTATATGACGAAGCCGCGACGCTCATGATTCCTTCGTCCTATTTCTCCGCGACGGACGTCCAGATATACACGCGGGACCTGGTATGTAACTGAGCACGAAAATATCGTCGGATTCATTCTGACTGGAAGTGCCTGCGGCTAACTCAGGCTTCTTCATTAGCGCTGGATTAGAGGACATCGATATCCACGTTGGCATTGCACAGCGTCGAACGTTCGCCTAACTCGAGTCTTACTGCTACCAGATGATAACAAATCTCATGTGTCGAGGCCACACCCTGCATACATCATAGAAAAGAGACACGTCATCCCAGAAGTTAAAGGTGCCCATCACCTCGTTTCAGCTGAGAGGCGAAATTCCCATCATTTCCTTGTCCTCTGCTTACACTCGTCATAGGTGTCACATTTGCCCTTGCTGTACGGAATGCTGTGCAGACAGCTGTGGTCTAGGCACAGCTAGCTTTACCACGGACTACCGTACGTAAGTGCGCTCATTAAAAGTCGGGGATGAAGATTAAGGTAGGGTTAGGGTCACACTCTTGAGATAGCGTTCAGGCGATCCCTGGGCTTTCCTCGGATACAACACCTCACTTCAGCCGTCTCCGTGTGTCTCTGCAAAGGATCTGCAATACTGCTCTGCGACTGCCAAGATGGAGGCAGCAGCAGGCGACACAAAAGCGATTCGGGGTATCCACGTGCGCCAGGCGCCCATAACACATGTCCGCTGTTGTTCCCATCTCGGGCGTCCTGCGGGGCATTATCTCTGGCTGAAGAAGAGAATAGACCAAAAACAATGCCTCGTGTTTGCCAGCCCGATCTCTGGTCCCCATCGCCCATCCCCAGACCGGGATATACTCCTTAATCTCGCCAGCTCGTGCACCCAATCGCCCATATCTCCCCACCACACTGTGCCAGCTCGCGGGGTGAGAGAGGCCGTCATTCGCTTCGACGCTGACGACTCTGACATCGGCATACGTGAGACAACAGACCTACGATGAAGCCTGGGGCAGGTACTCGGAAGCCATACATTGGCCAGACACGCAGTTTGGTCCTTGCAGTTGATATCGGCACCACCTTCAGCGGTGTGTCATACGCCATACTCGAACCTGGCGAAGTTCCAAAGATTCATGGTGTCACAAGGTGTGTAATATTCTATTCTTCGTTTCCATCCAGCACACGGATTTGTGGCGCTTTGCAGATTCCCGGGTCAAGAACATGTAGCGGGCAACTCGAAAATTCCTTCGATCATCTATTATGACCAACATGGGAATATGAAGGCTGCTGGTGCGGAAGCGGATGGTGCATCTGTTCTTGCTCAGGCTGAAGATGAGGGATGGAGCAAAATTGAGCTGTAGGTTCTGATATGCTTACTCTGATCGCTTGGACTTACTCGTTCCAGCTTCAAGCTGCGCTTGCGGCCAAAGACCATGACTCTGAAGATGAACGGGATGCGGCTATCACCTCTACCTCCAGGGAAGTCTGCTGTGGACGTATTCGGCGACTTCTTGTCCTATCTCTTCCGCTGCACACAGTCCTTCATTGTCGATACCCACGCGAACGGTCATGCACTATGGCGGGCCGTCGAGCACGACATGCAGTTTGTTTTGTCCCACCCAAACGGATGGGAAGGAGCTCAACAGACCAAGATGCGTAGGGCTGCAATAATCGGCGGGCTAATCCCAGACACTGATGAAGGGAAGTCGCGGATAAGGTTCGTCACAGAAGGAGAAGCGAGCTTGCACGCTTGTGTCTTGAACGGTCTTGCCGCCGACGTGCTTTCGGTATGTCCCGGCACCAAATGGAGTTTGGCAATCGCTGATATACCCTTTCTAAAGAATCCGTCTGGTCACGGATTCCTCATTTTGGACGCAGGTGGAGGCACCCTTGATATCAGCTCGTACGCTATTCGCGGGACGTCGCCTCTCGTAATCGAAGAAGTCGCACCTCCAGACTGTTCGTATTCTATTTCATTTACCAGCATCTGTCACTTAATATCGGTTATTCAGGTGTCTTCGCGGGTTCAGTATTCGTTTCACGCCGCGCTCGGGCTTTCTTCGCTGAAAAGCTTCAGAGTTCCAAGTACGGGTCTCCAGATTCACTGGACCACATTGCGAAGCGCTTCGATGAGACAACGAAGAGACTATTCAGAGATAGCAAGGAGCTGCAGTTCGTGCCGTTCGGCAGCCCCTTGGATAAAGACCTGACAGCTGGGATTCGTGGAGGACAGCTTCGGCTGACTGGGTACGAGCACTCGTTACTCTATGCATGTGAAACCTTCTGATAACGTGAGCAGAGGTGAGGTGGCAGCCCTGTTTGAACCATCAATTCAGGCAGCTGTCGCTTCCATTCGATCCCAAATACAAGCGTCCTCGGGACAAGTCAAGGTAGCGTAAATAGTATTATAAGTTTGCCTAGACCAACCGTATCTCCGCAGAGTGTGTGGCTCGTCGGTGGCTTTGCTGCCAGTCCGTGGCTATTCAGCCAGCTGCAAGAGCAACTCAATCCCCTCGGTGTTTCGGTTAGTCGACCCGACAGCCAGACGTAAGTGCCATCCTTCTATTTACCGTCCCTCGTCTTACGTGATAATGCAGATCGAAGGCGGTAGCAGACGGTGCAATTGGCTTCTACTGCGACCACCATGTCTCGGCGCGTGTATCAAAATTCATGTATGGTGTCGAGTTCCTTCGGACGTTCGACCCGAACGATGAAGAGCACCTTTCGAGAAAGCACCGACTATTCGAGCTGCCTTCCGGCCCTAAATTGCTTCCCGACGCCTTCGATTGCATTCTTGCTCGGGTAAGTGCCTCGTGTAGTGATGATGTGGATGACTGATGCGACGGTCGCTGTGTAGAGCGTCAGGGTGAAGGAGTCTACTGTGTTCAGCCGCAAGTACTGCACGGAAGTGACAAACCTGTCCACGTTATCTGTATTCGAAGTGGAGATTTGGTGTTACCGTGGAGGTGACGTCGTGCCAAAGTGGATTCTCCGTAACGCAGGTTAGTTCGTAAAACTTAAGACTCATGGGCCAGAACTCAACATTTTAATCATGACAGATCATTTCTCAACGTTGTGCTATGTTCGTGCAGACCTATCGCCTCTTGCGTCAAGCGCACAGCCCAAGCAAGGAACAGGAGGGAAGCAATACTGGACCATCGTGTTCACAATTGAGATTCACTTTGGCCTCACGGAGTTCAAGGCTAGAATCAAGTGGATAGACCACGATGTTAGTATTGTGTAATACCTCGTTAAGCCGTTACTGACATAGTTTGGCTTCCGTAGAAACAGATCAAATAGTGAGTACGTTCACTGTCTTATCCACTGTTTTACTGACATTTGGGTGATAGCGGACCGGCATCTATCGTGTACAACGAAAGTGGAACGAGGACGGAGGAAGAGGATGACCTCCCAGACGACGACGGCACCATATCATACACTGCATCATCTCGCACTTCAGGTCAGCCGTCGAGCTCGTCGTCTCGGACGCACTCTAGAAGTGCCTCACGTGCGGCCAGCGTCCCCCAATCGACAAAGACGGTCAACGTCGATCTCCCACCCGTTGCGTCGCGTCCATCGAGTCATCGGACATCTTCACATTCGTCGTCGTCTCGCTCCCCTGAGCTCGATAGGCATCATTCGAGTCACTCTCGCGGAGTTGAGCTAGAGAGCGTTCGCGAGAGCCGCCGCAGCTCGACACTCATCGACAAGGTCAGGAGTCGCGATAGGTCTTCAGCCTCTTCGGTAGCGGCAACCCCGAGGCCTGAGCGCATGACAGAGCGAGATCGTTCCATCAACATGTCTACGGAGAGTCGGATGAGCGCTGCGACTGCCAGGCTAGGCGAGACGCTCACATCCATCTGGGGCCCTCCGAGTACGGCGCCATCTGTGCGAGAAACCCCTCTTGCGTCTCCGAGAGGCGAGGCAGCTTCGTACTTCGAGAGTGTCTCAGGCGGACACGACGGGCATGAGTTGGACTACGTCTCTTTGCCAGCTGGCTCGAAGGCAGTGACGCCAGGTGCTGCATCCAAAGTCGCGAGCCCGCCACTTGCCTCCGGTATCGCTACGCCCACGCCTCGGTCGATTGACCCTGAGGGACTGTTTGATCCCGAAGCATCCGCTCAGATCCAAGCTGCGATGTCTAGGGCTGCGTCGAAGGTGCCCACTGCTGTGCCTTCGAAAGCACCGACAGCTGCCCCATCGAAAGCACCAACAGCTGCTCCATCCAAGGTGTCTACTGCTGCCCCATCCAAGGCACCAACTGCCGCGCCCTCGAAGGCACCCACTGCTGCTCCTTCGAAAGCTCCCACGGCCGCGCCATCGAAGGCACCTTCGGTCGCACCATCGAAAGCACCTTCAGTCGCGCCATCGAAAGCACCTTCAGCTGCGCCATCGAAAGCGCCTTCCGTTGCGCCTTCCGTTGCTCCGTCCAAAGCCCCCTCCGTTGCTCCATCCAAGGCTCCCTCCGTCGCTCCGTCCAAGGCACCATCCAAGGCACCGAGCCCTATTGCTACACCTAGAATCGTCACTCCTGCCGAGACGCCTGGCGCTACGACACCCAGAGCTTCCGTCGAACCACCTGCTGGTGTATCGAAGGCACCATCTCCCGCTGCCACGCCAAAGCAATCCGAAGCTCCTCTACCCCCCACGTCCAAAGTTCCTACTCCTGCCGCCTCAAAAGCGCCATCCAAGGCGCCCACACCTAGGGCTTCGAAGGCTCCAACCCCGACTGCTGTCTCGAAGGCTCCATCAAAGGCACCGTCTCTGGCTCCTTCTGTGGCTCCATCGAAGGCCCCATCTCCTAAACCCGAGGTTGCGGACCTTCTAGAGCCAGAACCTGCCGCTGAAGCTGCACCCGAGTCCGCGAAGGACCCAAACGATGACTCGGTGGTTCCTCCCATGCCTGAAGAGCCACTTGTCGCACCCATCGACACAAATGCTCCTGTTCCCGCGGAGAGCTGGGGCTTAGACAGCGGCACGGTCAAGTCGGCGAGTGAGCACGGTCTAGGCGATCTCTGGGAAGGAGAAAGCAAGGCCCCTGGCTTCAGTGACTTTCTGACCCAGGGTAAGAACTGGAGCAAGCCCGCCTCGGCAACGTCCAGTTCGAAGCGTAACTCTGGATTCGGTGCTGCTGGTGCCGGTTCTGGCTGGGGTGTCGGTGGATGGGGTGCGCAGGCTAGCGAATGGGGAGCGTCGGCAATGAACATGGCGAAGACGGCCAAGGAGGCCGCCGCCAATATCAATGGCGCCTGGGGATCTGACCTGCTCCCGAACAGTATTGGACTCAACTTCGGAGGGGGCGAGGACGCGCCTGCCGCCGTCAGCTCGCCTGCACCTGAGATACCCGGCGGTTTTGAGGTCGAGTGGCCGAAGGAGGCTGAGGCTGCTGCGCTGGCCGCGGAACAGGCCGAGGAAGCTGCCGCTGCGGAGGAGGCCGCAAACACAGCTGCCGCCGAACAGGAGGCTGCTGCTGCTGAACAAACGGAGGATGCTGCCGCCCCCGCGGACCCAGCCTCTACAAACCCAACCCCAGCCGAACCTACGCCATCCACTGAGGACCCGATTCCAGAAGCTTCAGAAGAGACCCCTGCGCCTACACCCGAAGCAGATACGGAAATCGCGGCCGCTCCAGCCGGCGAAGAGCCCGCCGATGCCTCAGCGGAGGGCGCAACCGCCCCCGCTGAAGAGGCAATACCAGAGGTCCCCGCCGAAGGGGCAATACCAGAAGCCCCCGTCGAGCCAGCAAACACGGATGCCGCAGTATCTGCTGAAGAGCCTCAAAAGCCAGCAGAAAATAACGAAGATGAGGCGGGCGACCCTGAGGCCGAGGATGAGACTGCGGACAAGACGGAGCCCGAAGAGGCTGCGCAGGGCAAGCGGAAGAGCAAGGTGGGCGCAGAGAATATGTCACGAACTGCGTCGGCCACAAGCGGTGGAGCCGGTAAGCCCAAGGGCAAAGGGAAGAATAAGGGCAAGAAACGGTGATCTCGGGGCGCTAGGCGTCGGTTGTTTTCAATCAATATTTCATGCCTCGCAGTCTTCAGCCTCTTACGATCTGTACTTAGCCATCGTATAATTATGGGTTATATGTTAATGTAGAGGCTCAGGTTGACACACGACGCATAGCGCTTAGAAGCCGCATAGTCGACGTTACAAGCTGTTCAGCTCGGTAAAGGTATAGGAGTCGTAAGATCTGCTGAGATGAGAGGCGTACGCTGGGTCATAGCCACAATGTACGACAACCCACGAAATGCCAAAAGGGAGCGTAGGATGACGCATTGCTAAAATATGACCGTGCGGCTATGTTAGAACCTAGATCCAGCATTATCGACGACTACCTGAGCCGCCAAGGCCTGATAAAGCCTTGCCAAGTAACGATGGGGCCTGTTCACCGGGCTTGACAGGAGAAAGCTCTAGCGGAATGTTGAGCCCGCCGTCGGTGCCCTATGAAATAAAATTAATGCCATCTTCACCATTCAAAAGGCGAGACAGCGCTCACATTAGAGAACGACCTGAAGTCGAATGCTGCTGGAGCATCCGACTTAGAGAAGACGTTGATCTTCCGCTTCTTCTTTTTCTGCACCACAGCCACCTCTCCAGAGTCGCTATTCGCGTCTCGAGTAAGGCTGGCCTCCCGAGCCTTGCCCTTCGTCTTAGGTGGAGGTTTCACAACGTTCTTCTTCGAGGCGGGCTTCGAGAGCGGCACGTCGCCTGAGTCGCTGTCCGCAACAACCTTCTTGCCTCTCTTTTTCGGTAGTGCGTCATCCACGGCGCCGTCATTCACGCTGTTCGCTTTCCGTTTGCCCTTTCCTCTGCCTGGAGAGTTCGGAGCCTCGACGGGTATATCCTCGGGTTCAGGCGACTGGGACTTCTGTTTCTTTGGCCGCCCGCGAGGTTTCTTTGGAGGCGCAGAGTTCACGATGGCCTTGCCCTTGCCCTTGTCCTTCTTTGATGGAACAGTCTCCTCGATCTCATCATCGCCGCCAAGGTCGCCAAAGTCAAAATTGAAAGGATCGGGCGCCTTCTGCGGCCGAGAAGGCTCACCGACCAGCTCGATATCAGAGTCAGAGCCACCTCTATCGATAGCCTGGGGAGCCTTCTTGACCGGGCGGGGCCTGGGTTTGTTGGTCGACTTGGCGATTGGGGAATATGGTAGTGATGGTGGGCGAGGAGCATGGCCGTTAATTTCCTGGATCTCATCGTCCAAATCGTCCACCTGAGGTTTTCGCTGGGCATGTTTAGCGTACGGCGCGCTTTTGACAGACTGTAGTAAGTCGTACCTTCTGTTTTGGAGACGCAGCGACTGTCGAACGGCTCGCCTTGAACCCCAGCCCCGCGATTGTTTCTTCAGCCTCCGCAAGCTGGAGCTTAAACTCTTCGATCTCGCGCTCACGCTCATCAAGTTCATTGTTGGCGTCGTCGAGAGCCGACTGGGCTAGGTTATCAGTAGGAAGGTCAATCCACAGGCGAGACGATTATAAACGTACCGCATGGTCGTTGAGAGATACCTTGTATTGCTGTATTCTCGTCTGATACTTGGTCTTGAGTAGCGTCTGCGCTTCTTCAGCTTCAGCAAGACGTTCTTCTTGCTCCTTGACTTGGATCTCTAGCTCAATCTTGCGCTTCCTAATCGTCTCGAGCTCGCCACCTTCTCGATTCTCGATGTTTCGCCATTTCTCAAGCTGTCGTAGCAAATCCGCATTTTGAACCTGTATATCGTTGTATCTCCCCTGCAGTTCCGCGAGGCTCGATTTGAGACCCTCTACTTGGAGGTTGGTACGCTCGAGATCAGCGCTGCTGCTGCTCGACGATGCTAGCAAGGAAGTATGTTCTTTGCGCAAGCCGGCGAGTGCTTTCTGAATATGCGACGGAGCGTAATAAGGGCATGAGAGCCAGTATACAATGCCTGCAAAGAAGCGGCGACTGAACAAGACACACCTCCAATTGCTTCTTTGATTGGATAGCCTCCTCCAGCTCCTCCTTCCGCTCATCTGCTTCCCTCTGTTGTTCTTGAACAGTTGTTTCGAGAGCTGCGAGCTCTTCTTGCGTTTGTCCATTCCTCTCCCCATTATCCAATGTCAGCTCTTGCACACGATCCTCCAACTCGGCCTCCCTCGCCTGGAACTGTCCAATCTGAAAGTCCCTTTGAAGTCTCGCCAGCCTCTCTGATCGTAAGTCCTCCTTCAGCTTGAACGCCACTGTCCTCTCCTTCTCTAGGTCAACTACTGCCTTGAGATGTGCAATCCTCCATAAACTCTGCAGAGAGTCGCAGCCCTCTCTCCACTCCCCTTGTTCGGCCTTGTGCTGTTGGTGTAGCTGCTGGGCGGTCGCGTCCGATTTGGCCTTCTCAGCAGATAGCTCTGCCTTGAGCTTGTTAATAGATTGCTCTAACGATCGGTTCCTGGTAACCAGCTCGTCAATGTTGGACTGCTGCTTAGCTACCATGGCTTCGAGCGGCGCCGACGAAGGTGCTATTCGAATGGGCGTAGGTGTTTTGCGGGACATGCGCGAGTGTATTACTGCAGGGTATCCAGGATAGTAGATATGAAAGCGTAGATGTCTAGAAATGAACTTCGCTCGCGCAGCCTTAGATGTACGGAACAAGGTAGGGGCGTGGCAGGAAAGACTAAAGCATTTGTACGCGGCGAGTAGCCCAGGCCCCACGCGAACTCACCGCGTCGAGGCACGTGACCTTCTCTCCTCCAACCGCCATGTCGCCCACGAAAGGTCCAGTGCGGGACGTCAAAGTCCATGTACCCAGACATAACTCCCAGCGCATAGGACCGCGGACAGTCTCGCATGTTGAGTCGATTGCGAGAAAGAAGAAGAAAAGGGTGGAGGCAAGGCAGACAGCCTACGAGCCGGCGGGCATCATGGCACAGGCAATTGTGAGTTGGCCAAAGCGCTGCACCAGACTGTGCTCAATAATATGCCCGGTATGAACAGGAGAGTGCTTCTGAGTGGAATTCTCTTCTCATGACTGCAAGAGCTGAGCGAGGTCCGCAATGGGACATCGGAACACAGCAGTACGTTCGTCGCTTACCCGAAGCACCTCGAGCTAACTAGCACCAGGTTCCTCGTAGACGAGTACTCCAGCCTTTACTACGATCCCACACTATTACGTGAATATGAAAAGGAAGGCAAGTCTGAAGAGTCCGACGTGCCACAAAAGATAGAACGACAGTCAATGCCTCCTCCCGAATTCTCGCCACAAATGCGGCGCGGTCCGCCTTCGGGCCAAGGACCCTCGTCATTACCTTTCAATTCTCCACGGCATCCATCGCAGATGGCTCCCGGCATGTCCTTCGCTAACATGGGCGTCGTGCCTACGGGGCAGTTCTACGGCAACGGTGACATGGGCCCTGGACCGTCTCCGATGCGAATGGGTGCCATGGGCATGCCTGTGGATCCTATGGGCGGTATGGGCGGTATGGCAGGCATGAACCCTATGGCGAATATGGGCGGAATGGGGGGCATGCCTGGGATGCCTGGGATGGGCGGAATGGGAGGTATGAGTATACCCGGTACTATAGGTATAGCCTCGCCAGATCTCAGACGGGGAATGCGACCTCGGGGAATGAGTATGGGCATGGGTGATGATGGGTTTGGAGGACTCCATTAGTGCGCCCACCTAGCATGTTCGCCGTTCTGCTGCCGTACCTGATTGCTGTGTATATCTAGATCTAGCTATCGTAGTTGGCACTACACCAGACCTTCGGCTGTTTGCGACATCCAGGGCTTATGAGGCTGTCACAAGTTCAACATCCTAGGTTTAGTATGTCACGGGTATTGGCCAAGGGCCTCGAAGGTGCAACAGTGGCGCAATAAACACTCGAGGCCCTTCCGTGTGAGTACGAGCTCCTCTTTAAGCCCCCGCTTCCTGGAGCAATTGTCGTGCAACTATATCGCGAAGGTTGATATGAATGCTTCCGCCGTAAGGTGCCCTCGAGCTATGCTGGGAAGACAGTTCTGCGACGGTGTTCCATCATCATCCAAGTGCCTTCTTATCCTAAGAGCTAGGCTGCGATCAGCCCGTTTCCCATCACATGTCGACCGTACTGCCTAGCGGACTGGCAGTTCACTTTGTTCTCGAAATATCAGCCAGGAAACATCAAGCGTTCAACGCACAGCTTCAGTTCACTGCGCGTGTCGCATTGCGTATTGAAATATTGATTCCCGATGAGATAGAATTTCATCCCGCAGATCTCAGACCTGAGTCATCCCTCCACCGTTGGGCAGATCGCTTCTCTTTGGGATCAACAGTGCTTTTGCCTTGTTCCCACTTAGTCGTATGAGCTCACCTGTGCCATTTTTCCAGGAACGCTGTCCTAGTGTTAGTTCAGATTTGCCGATGGGAGTCTTCAGGAGAACACGTGGATGTATTCGTCTTTTGCGATCTGCTGCCGTCAGGATGCTCGCCTGTGCGGGGAAACTCCGTGAAAGATTGATTTGCAGTCCGTAGGCCATGGTATTTAGGTGCGCCGTATGTTCGAGACATCCTCAGGCCACAATCTCTCGTGCTATCCTCGCTAGTAGTATTATCCTCGCGCAAGCTTTTACACCGGCAATGTCTCAAGCCGCGTCTGCTGAGTCTTCATACACCCCGGCCATAATTCAGGTCATTCAGTCAATGTATGCCATACATACCTCGCATGTTATCACCAGCCGTACTAACCTATCTTTCTAAGTCTCGTGGCCAACTACTCAAACGTCGCAATGCTAGGTTCGTGGATTTGTCGTTTGTCTCAGCGTGGGTTTGTGCTAAACGTACGCTAGCTTTGGTTATATACGAACATATCATCACCCTAGACATGGAATTCACATACATATGGCGCAAGGGCACCGGCCGTGGAGTTAGATTGTTATACTCCATCAACCGATATGCAGTGCTGGCGTACGCAATTATCGGATACTGGTCGTCGCTAGTCCCGAAGGTATGCAGACTTCCCTGCGACTCATAAACCGCAATGGGCTGACATCGACGGTTACGCAGGAGTAGGTCGTGCTATGCTATTGTGATACGGTCAGTGCTAACCCGGCGTTGCCGCACAGGAACTGTGGCGCTGTCACACGACTGACTGAAGTGCTAATTTTGCTGCTTTGGACGGTGTTCGGGGGTACGCTTCGCAATAGCCTGCGCCGTCTACGGCGGCTGATTTCACGAACTAGTCTTCTCTGCGCTGAGGATATATGGCTTATGGGAGAAAAACCGGTATCTCTTCGCTCTGATTTTAAGTCTGAACCTTGTGCAGGTTGTCATCAATATCGTACGTTCATCATTTTGCCGTTGGTCAAGCATAAATTTACAGTCATGTAGTATTATTTCAGCCGTCTGGTGCCGTTTGCATCGGGCTTTTGGTTTGCACCGTGCCTAGTGAATGACGAGGCATTGACACCAGCGTTAGAAGCGAGGTCAGCCCTCTCAACCTCGATATATATTCTGTGACTGATTTCATCTTTCTAGCTGTGAGTTCAATGCGCTCTAAACGCCCATAGACAGGGATCTGATGCTCTGCAAGTCATACGTGCAAGTCGGGCAAGCGTCATAGCAGCCGACGGTCTCACGCTGTTTCTCACGTGGTACAAGACCAAGGACCAGTACAAGGAGATGAAGAAGCTGAGCGGCCTGAATTTCCCAACATCAATGGGCGGTGTGCTCATTCGCAGCGGTTCGTAGCCATTCATCTTCTCATGTAACATTGCATCTAACGCCACGATTGCCGCAGGTAGTATTTGCTTCCTGTGAGTAAATAATGGGCGCAGGGCCAACAAAATACTCACGGCAGCTGATGGTCGCCAGAATACTGTTCGTCATGAACATCGCCCAGGTTATCACATTCGAGATATTGGTACATTCGGAAGCTTGTTGCTGGGTATGCCTGCTGACGCCAGCTGTAGGATAATCAATTTCTTACCCCATTCATCACAGTGTATGTGCAGACTTGAGCCAGGCGGGTGATTACTCACTATTCTATAGCCTTGCACCGACACTTGCCAACCGCCTCCTCATAAGCCTTCAAGAGCTTCGCGGCAGCGGATACCCTGCTAATATCTCTCAATTCGCCACCGACATAAGCATGGTTTTCAATCAGTTCCCGTCGCTGCCACAAATGTCCCAAGTTGATTATGAGGTCCCTGTGCCGATGCTTTCGCAGAGAGTTACAGGCTCCATGTCGCAGTCGAGGATGCTGAGACTTGGAGATCCTGACACAACTAATCTGCTGGCCGACTCGCCGACTACAAGCCACGGAGAGACTAGCATCAGCTCTTCTCCTGAGGATCACGTGAGACATATTCAGGAAGTGAGTTTCGCTTTCCTTACCCTAGTGACTTCCAAGGATGACTCAATGGTGACTAGATGCCTTTGCATTGCGCCGTCTGAAACCCCCAAAAGACAAGCCGTATGGGCCAAGAATCCTTGCTGGTACAAACTGGGTCGACAAAATATCTTAATATTCGATGTTCAAGTGTAGCTCTATCTATGTATGGCATAAGCCCATATTGCCGTACCGCAGTATTCCAACCGTTTTGAAGTTGGTGTCTTATAAGCGCCCATAAGCATGCCAGATTTTCGTGAGCGTGATAAGATTTAATTTCACTTGCTGGCGGGGGGTTATGACCGTTCTTTCTCATGAGATTGAATGATGGCTTGAACAAAGAGCCATCGCTCTACTATCGTGCATGATCAGTGCCAGATTGAGCAGTGTTGGGACCAGACGGGTATCCAAACACCTGACCCTTTCAACGCGCGTACTTCCCAGTTGCACTCGGTTCGTTCGACTACCACCACGCCGTTTACAATCTACGCTCGTATACCAACGCAGCAAAGAAACTGACAGCATCATGTACCCACCCATCGAGCCATACACTATTAGCACACTAAAGGTCTCCGATCTGCACACGCTCTAGTACGCTCCAGTGCGCGCTCGAGCCGAGTACAGAAGCTGAGGATCGCTCTGCTCTGTAGCTACGAAATCAGTGGCAACCCTCAAGGCACTCCAGGTGCGTATTCTGCTTATCTGCACTTAGCTTGGCTGACAAGTGCACGGTGTGATTCACAGTCGTCTTCTTGCACGGTGATTAGCGATACTATGCTGTGCTAGTTCTTGTATAAATGTTTTGTCCGCAGGCGGACCTGGTGGCGGTTGCGATGCGAAGGACAGATCATTCTTCAACCCAACGAGATACAAGGTATGCACTGCGGCTTCATCCTAGTATACTCACGTAACTTGATCTATCCGCAGATCGTCCTCTTTGACCAGCGCGGTGCGGGAAAGTCCACACCGTGTGTACACCGCCCTCAGTCTTTGATCGACCGCTAAACTTGACGCTATACAGGAGCGCGTCTTTGGAAGAGAACACCACCTGGGATCTAGTGAAGGATATCGAGAAGCTCCGCGAACACCTGAACGTTGAAAAGTGGCACGTATTCGGTGGATCGTGGGTATGTCTGGTAATTCTTTCTCTAATATATGGCGCTGAGCGTTGTCTATTGTCGAATAGGGATCTACGCTGTCTCTTGCCTACTCTCAGGTTGGCAAAGCGATCTTTCTACGGGATCAACTGGGCGCTAACCAATATGCAGGCCCACCCTGGGCGAGTGAAGACTTTGGTCCTTCGGTGCGTTAATGCAAGCACCAACTCCGCATACGTCTTATGGCATTGTATGCAGTGGGATCTTCACGCTTCGCAAGAACGAGTTGCGCTTTTTCTACCAGGATGGTGCATCTCACCTTTTCCCAGAAGCTTGGTAAGAGCCTGCTACGCAATATTGGGCCACAGCTCACCATTGGACGATTTTAGGGACGACTATATTTCCCCCATTCCGGAGGCCGAGCGTCATGACATGGTTCTGGCTTATCATGCCCAGCTGAACTCTGCCGATGACGAGACGCGTCTCAGGGCGGCTAAGGCCTGGACGCGATGGGAGTGAGAGCAGGTTAAATGTATCATACTGCTTCGAAGACTGACCCAGAATTGCGCTCTCTTAGAATGTTCACGTCCAAGTTGCACGTCGATCCAGCGCATGTTGCAGAAGCCGAGAAAGATGACTTTGCCAAGTAAGTCTCTCTTGACTGTCCTCGGCTGGATTCGCTCATCTTTCGCCCGTCAGCTCCTTTGCTAGGATCGAGAACCACTATTTTGTCAACGACGGCTGGATGCGAGAAGGCCAGCTGCTTGAGAAACAATCGGTGGACAAGATGCAAGTGCTGAGTGCTATCTCCAGCCGTGTCTAGTGCTAATAGCCATGTTAGTCGTCATATTCCTTGTGTCATTGTACAAGGACGATACGATGTTGTCTGCCCCGTAAGTTCTTTTAACGGCCCCCCTGGAAATCTACATCCACTCATTAATCAACTTTCCAAAGGCAACCACAGCATACGCGCTTAAGAAGGTGTGGCCGGAGGCAACCTTGCACATCGTCCCCGATGCTGGCCATTCATCGCGCGAACCCGGCACTGCCAAGTTACTCGTAGAGGTGCGTCTAGTGGCTGCTTTTCTGTGTCCGCGTCAGATTAAATTGTCTGATTCCTAGGCTACGGACAAATTTGCCGACCTCTGAGCGGTGGCTAAGAAATTCACGTCGTGTCGGATACCGGGATTGTGACGAAATACCCGGTACGGTCATGGTCGGCTTAGATATGTCTATTTGTATAGGCCGGAGCTACACTGCTTGCTGTCGAATGAGACCATTGTCTGACTCAGAAGCTTCGTGTCCGACAAGAGACAAGAGCGGGGTCATTAATATTGTGCACGGGAGCCAAATACGGCCAAACAACAGCCGTGCACAGGCCACGCGCATGAAGAGAGCTGATTGCCATCACACACGCACCAACGCCCAAGCTTTCTCTGAACCACCAGCTTCAGCACACGAGCTTTTCGCGAGGCACACGCCTCCCCAATCTCATCTCTGCACAACTTTGCATGATAACTTTGCGCTCTGATAAGCACTCGCATCATATCCGAACCACAGACGCGTCGCACCACAACCACACCTGTGCAACGTTTTCGCTCGTCCGCACGGAGTCGACACAATCTGGCCTGGCAGCAACGAGGAGTACATGTCCTTCGCGAGCACACCCCTAGGTCAAGGTAGACGGCTGGATCACAACACTTTCCTGGGAAAGGGCGGGCCTCAAATACGTGAGGCTGCCAACGGACTTAGGGCACATCCGCTACAGCGTCAGATATATCATAAACCCCCTGCTTCTTACGCTCACGGGTACGTCTCCTATTCTTCATGTCTTATGCGCATATCTCTATATCTCGACCCACATCAGGGCACCTTCGCAGAGCACGCGCTCGCCTCCGAAGCCCGTTAGTTCCGCAACCGCCCCTGCACCAGCATACGTAGAGGAGAAGGAGCAGGAAGAGCAGGAGAACGATCCGGTCAGCGATTCCGAGCAACCAGCACTCGTTCGGTTCGCACGCTTGAAGGAACGTGAGCAAGAACAGCAGAGCAACCCAAACGGACGCGTCCTCGGACCACGCGTCATTAACACGCCGCCAAATCCCGAATACTGGACAGTGAAAGACACGTCCGTGAACATCGCGAGCGCGTTTCACCGAGCAGCGGGCGGCACCATCATCCCCGCACACGACTCCAGCCTCCGCAGCAACACCTCGAGTAGCTTCAACAACTCCTCCCTCAACATGAACACCGCGAATAATTCCTGGGCCTCGGGTGCGCAGCAGAAGCCGAACCTCCCCAGGAGTACTTCCGTCGAATATGAGAAAGAAACGCATTCCATTGTCATGAACCGCAGGCTAGGCGCGCCTCCCGGTCGAGGCACTCGCCCCGCCAGACCACCTCCTTCTCCTTCCACACGACTCATGCCGAGCTCGGATGCTGAGCAGGAGGCACCACAGCCCTTGCAACGTGGCATGAGTCCGTTTGAACATATTGTGGAAGCGACACGGCGGCTAGCTCCTGCTACATTCCTCATGCGCCGACAGTCCGAAGAACCAGAAACGCGTGCTCCGCCTACGAAGGGTCCCCAGGACAAGTCCTCAAGCTATGACTACTCAGCGGAAGAACGCGAATTCAACAGTTTATCACACGATCAACCGAACGGTCAGCGCAACGCAGGACATAAACGGAACCGGATATCTGTAGACAACAAGGCGTATCTACCCACCCAGTCGGATTTGGAGGACTCGGATGGGGACTTCGAGGAGGACGGAAAGAAGACGAGGAAAAGGAGGAATGCAAAGAAACACGGGACTACTGGCGGCCCTCTGACATCGCTGCCAATCACTAGCTATGACAAGCGGAAGAAGAAGCGGCGAGGTATGAAGAGCAATGGGATGGACGACGACGAGAGCAGTGAGGAGGAAGGACAGTCGAACGAACAGGTCAAAGATCAAGTGAGTGTGCTCGATATATGCGCTGTACCATGTGCTCACCGAAATTACTGAAGCAATCTATACCAGTACTGCCGTCTCGACATTCAATACCACCTGCAGAGATAGGAAACAACACCAGCTTCTTTGATGCTATGAACGTCGAGGCTGGATTGGAACGTAGTCTTGAATCGATCCTCGAGGAAGACGAGACTGCAGCCGACGATAGTGTGGAAGTCTTGTCCCAACAGACGTACGGCCCCGGTGCCATACTAGGACGTGGTGTTCACCTTATCTTCACCACCGTCTCTCTCATCACATCCGCAATATGGTCTATCTTTGCATACACACCACTCCTCATAGGACGGGTCCTCGGCTCCTTGTTTGATCTTGTCGTACTCCAACCAGCGCAATGGATAACCGGCGCTGACCTAAGACCGCTCATCAAATTAGGCAAATACGCGACCATTGCCCTCAGTCTATATGTTGCCTGGTATGCGCTCAACTCAGGTCTCCTTGAGTTACCTTCGCTCCCTTCGCCATCCCCGGTTTATCGTCCTCCAAGCGATATACCTCCAGCCGACATCTCGGAGTTGTCTTCGCGGCTCATCCGTATCGAGAGCGCCTTGGCCAGCCTTTCCGTCGACACCATCCGTCTTCGGGAGGATGCGCGCACGCATGGGAGCCAGTTAGGCGCCCTTGAGAACCAGATCCTCAGGGAGAGTAATCGTGTACTGGAAGCAGAATCGAAGTTCTCATCGACGACTCAAGGTCTCCAGGCAATCAGGCAGGAGGTTCAGATGCTGCACGCGGAGTTAGAGGCCCAGAAGAAGCAGCAGGGCGAGCATCGATCTGAGCACAACACAGATGAAGACGCACGCGCTCGACTTCGCGAGCTAGAGGCGCGGGTCGGCACGGTCGAGGGCGGTGTGAAGGAGGCGCTGGAGCTCGGCAAGCACTCGACGCCCGATTCACCTTCAGGCAACGTCATTAGCTGGTGGAACAAGCTAGCTTCTGGCAAGACGTCGTCTTTGACCATCAAGTCCTCGGATGGCAAGGACGTCACTGGCCTTATCTCTCAGCTTGTCGACTCTGCCGTGTCTAAAATGTCGAAAGACACTCTTGCGCGACCCGACTACGCTCTGTACTCCAGTGGAGCGAGTATTATCCCATCACTTACCAGCGACACGTTCGAGATGAAGCCGCAGGGTCTGGCAAGTTCCTTGCTGGGCATGGTCACCGGCAACGGTTACGCTGTCGGTCGTCCTCCCGTTACCGCGCTTCACCATGAGACACACAATGGACACTGCTGGCCGTTCTCCGGTACCCAGGGACAGCTTGGTGTCATGCTCGCCACGCCAGTACACATCACGGACGTCACCATCGACCACGTTGCGAAGGAAGTCGCCACAGACATGCGCTCGGCGCCAAGGCACATAGAGCTATGGGGGCTCGTCGAGGGCGGTGAGAATGTTGCGAAGTACGAGGTATTAGAAGCCCAGCGTGCGACTGAGAGGGAAGCGGCACGCGCCGCGGCGGAGCTCGCGGGCGAGGAGTATGTCGAACCTAAGGACAGCTACCCTGAGACGCTCCCTCGCTCGGTGCCATACATGAAGATCGCCGACTTCGCGTACAACATTTATGCGCCTCATCATGTCCAAACGTTCGCTGTACCACAGGAGATTCAGGACCTCGGCATAGATTTTGGCGTCGTCGTTTTGATGGTCAAGAGCAACTGGGGCCGTGAAGACTTCACCTGCCTGTACCGCTTCCGGATACACGGGGAGCGGCTGGGCGGCATGCCTGAGCCTCTACCTGATGACGCCGCCGCCGAGTAGGTCTGTCAAACCGCTGAGTCAGATACCCGGATACCCCCCTCCCTCCCTTCACGGCTACCTCACGATCAAACATCGTCTATCTCTAGGTAATGCGAACAAGATTTTTATATGTCTTTATTAGTTGCCACGGATGCCCGGTGATGATAATGTCAGATGTCTCGCCCTCTGCTGTGTTTGTCCACTGTGCATGTCGTACTCTTCATCTTTGCTTTCCAATTGCAGGTCTGCCTTCCGTATCATTGTAGTATGTAGTGTTCGATGCAATTAACTTCGTCTGTGCAAGTCGCAAGAGGAACGAGGAAGGTGTGGCGGCAGCGATAGTATACGTACAAGGTATTTCTCTGTTCGTATTTGTGGTCGCCTTTGTCTCCATCTCAGTCTTTAGACCAGGGGTCGTTAATTTTCTTCTTTTTCAGAGCTGTTATGTTGGACGGAAGAAACTAGGCGGCGACCGCTATACGTTCCCAGTCAATTACATAGAGTTCCAAAGATATAGCAGAAAGGGACAGGTATATGTCAGAAAGTGGTATGATTGACCGTCGCTTCATGTTGATGGGCCCGATGCAGCCAGCGATCTCACAAGCGACGTACTGTATCTCATGCATTCAGCTAATGCCTGGACCACGCCCCCGGCATCTCGGCGGCGTTCCCGTTCGTACGACTGCTTAACGCGGTCTCTTCCCTAACCGCATCAACACCATCCAGGTTCAGCTCCAGGTCTAGCCTCCTCGCCAGTTCCAGATCGCGCTCCTCCTGTTCGCGGGCCTGCCTTTTGCGCTCTTCCTCCTCGAGCTCCAGCGTACGAGCGACCAGCCTGTCGCGCTCCTCCGCGCTCTGATACTTGCCCTGGCTGCCGCTCTGGCTCCTGTGCTTGTGGTGCCCGTTCTGCTGAGCCGGCGTGGGCGAGACGTGACCATGTGGGTGCGCAGGTGTCGGCGTGTGCACACCCTCCGGTTCGTCAGGCAGCGGCAGCGGCTTTGAATACCGCGGGTTGTTCAGGCTGGCGGGAAGATCCAGGTCGGGGTCCCGCGGCGGAGGCGCATAGTTGTACGGGTAAGGGCGCGGAGTGGGGCCGAGACTGTACGGAGGATAGTAGCCGTTGGTGGGCGGTGACGCGACAGGCGTGATGCTGGGTGTCGGGAAAGCGAACGCTGGGGCGTGTCCTGGGTCGGCGGTGTATGTGCTTGGTTGCATATGGGGATAGCTTGAGGGTGGCGGCGCCTGCCATTGCACTTGAGGTGAGGCAAGTCCTGGGGTGGGGTTGGGTTGAGGCGGAAGCGCAGGTATAGGCCTCTGCTCGTAAGTGGGGCTCTGTACTGCAGGTTGATAGTGTGGAAGCACCGGCGACAGCACATGTGGTGGTCTGGGATTATATGCTGGGTATTCTTGCGAAGAGGAATGGGTTCGCTGGTGGACAGTAGGTGTAGGTGATGGGGCTGGCCGGGATCTGGAGTCATATGCGGGATATACATGCGGAGAAGTATGAACCGGTTGGTGCGGGGCATGGTTGTAAACCGGCTCCTGCGTCGGAGATGTAACCCTCTGTGGCTGGGGAGTCGGGATAGATCCCGGCACATATCCTAGGGCACCAGCCGGTAGTACGGGTATTTGGGCTTCGGGTATGTAAGAAGACTTCTGAGACGGCGGCGACCTATGGGGCACCGGAGATGCACCTCCACCGGGTCGCAGAGAACTGGGAGGGGGGAGGGAGCTTTGGTGCGAGGGTGCCGAAAATGAGTAAGAACCAGGAAGTGGTAACGATCCATCGTGCGAACCACCAGTAGATGATCGTGGTCCATGTTGTGGCGACGGTACTTTCCCCCCTCCTGGACGTAAAATTGCTGGTAAGTCTCCAGAATTCGGTTCATCCGATGCTGGTTCTTCGGGTAAAGATGGTAATACAGCATTCTTTCCTCGGGGCGACAGACGCTGGGCAGCAGCTGACTGCGGTCGAAGACGTGAAGTGTCCGCAGTCGACGCGGGCCGATGACCAGCTGTCTTTGAAGGTAATGATGGAGTCGTAGCTGGCGATGATAGTTGCGGGGGCCGTGCAAGCCTGTCCGCTGGGAGCATCTTTGATGGACGGCGACTGAGCGCAGGAGGAGGGCTCGCTGCATAGAAAGTCATCTCGAGATACAGATCACCACGCTGAACATTATTGACGCTCAACGGCACCCAATCTGTGCAATGTCAGCGCACAGGCATGGCTATGAGGAGGACGAGCTCACCATCGAACTCTCCGGTACGCAGAGTCTCTGAAATATCGAGCTCCCCTTTGCCCACAACGTCGTCGGTGCGTGACTCCTTGGACCAGCAGGAGACCTCCATCACTATGGGCTTCTTTCCCTGGTCAACAACGGAAAAGCGAAGCTCCTCGTCCCATACTGGATGCTGCCCTCCCTTGATATCCGTCTGGGTTTTCTTTGTGGTTCCTTGCAGTGTCACCTGAGCGAAGACGTCTTGCTTGTAGAACGAGTGCTTGTCCGGAAGGTTGCGCGCCTTAAGCACGACAACGACGAGGGTTCCCAGTTCGCTGCCCATTGCTGTTCGTAGGCTGTTGAGTTATACAGCTAACCGCTAGATATAGTGCAGAAAGTGCCAGTGAGCGAATGACGTCTCCGCAGGACGATGGGAGCCTTACGATGCACAGATGGAATCTAGAGCTCCTATCAAACGTGGACCACGCGGTCTGCAGGGTTTGGTCTCGGTATATTTGGTTTCCGTTATCGCCAATCTTCAGCAGGAATGTCGCAGAGAGTGTCGTGGTCGCTGCGAGAGTCGACGAGCGGAAGGTTGAAATACTAGTACTGGCGTACTGTACTGGATTCAGGCACTGCCAAGGCACCGCAAAGATACATCTGAGATCGATGGGGCGCATCAATTGATCTCGATTAAAGTTGGGAGACGCGAAGTCGGGTTCAAGAGGCCGTCTCGACGTCGTCCTCGTCCTTCAGGCCATCGTCTCGGACAATGGCGAGTAGCTCTTAATTCATGAATAAGCTGCAGGGTGATTGTGGGGATGAAACTCAACAGCCACCGTGAGCTGGCCGAAGCACAATCTACGGCTCCCGCGCGTAATGGGGTGTGTGTCTTCGGCGCGGTGACGCTTGATTTTTTCCTATTTCTCGACCCCCGCGCCGCCTGATAGAGGTTGACGACCCACTACGACCCCGCACATCTCTCGTGTGGTTGAGTTCCCTCTGGCATCCACCATGTCCAAGGACGAGATGAACGACAAGGCTAGTGAAAAGGACACGGAGTCCGTCGAGACAAAGGAGGTTCAGGACGCCACCCCCAAGGTCCAGGCGCGCGAGGGTCCCAAAATTGTCTTGGACGCAGGTGAACAGCATCTGCGCGTTAGACAGCGTTGGTGGCAGATCTGGTGGGTTTATACACAATGTCTATTCCGCTGCTTGTTCTCATGTATTCTGCAGGTTGCCGAAGGACCCGCCACCGCCGCCCCCCACATCTTTCGAGGATACACCGGTATGCCAGCGTGGATGGTTACAAGTAATTCTTCTCATGCAGCCACTGTAGATCACGCCGCTCGCTACAGCGTCCCTGCTGTCTATGCTCACGTACACATGGATCACACCAATTATGGCAGGCGACCAATTTCCTCGTCCGCTACGCATGCATGATTGACCTTTCTTCCTGAAAATTATAGACTTTGGGTTACCAGCGTACGCTTCAAGCAACAGACCCATGGAAGCTGGATGAAACCAGGCAAAGCGGTCCCCTCAGTGTCAAGCTCGACGCGGCTTGGGACAAGCGAGTCAAGGATGCCAAGGACTGGAACGACCGGCTTGACGCCGGAGAGATACGCCCCTCTTGGTACTTGCGCATCAGCTGGTTTTTTATTGCTCTGTTATTTTGGAGGCATGGTCCGTGGAAGCCTGGCTCAAAATACGGCCAGCGCAGAGTAGCGCTTGAGCATCACTGGCGCACTGTCAGTGGGCGTAAGGAACCGAGCCTTGCGTGGGCCCTGAATGACACCTTGGGTTTTTCCTTCTGGCTCGGAGGCTGCTTCAAGGTACGTTCTTTTTGCCTCCCCTATTTGTTACGTTCATAAATGCGATGATTAGGTTCTCGGAGACACTTCTCAGTTAATGGGACCGATTATCGTGAAGGTGAATGATCGTGTACACCATTACTCTATCTCAGGTTCTTACCGAATAATTTAGAACATCATCAATTTCGCCAAAGCACGTTCAGCTGCGAGGGGAGATGACGAACCTGTCCCGAGCATAGGTCGAGGCGTAGGCATGGCCATCGGCCTGTTCTGCTTGACTGTGACTGCCAGTGTATCTCAACATCAATTCTTCTGGAGATCGATGTCTACAGGCTTACTCGCACGTGCTGCACTCATCGCGTCCATCTACAAGCGTGGCGTTAATCTCACGGGGAAGGCACGCACTAACTTCCCGAATTCAGCTCTTGTCAACCACATCTCGACCGACGTGAGCCGTGTCGATGCGTGTGCACAGTGGTTTGTGAGTAAACTTCTTTGTTCGTGCTTCAGAATTGTTCTATGTGTACTTATCTTCGTCTCTAGCATGCCGGTATGATGACCTGTCATCTCTGGCTCAAGCACGTACTGACGTACTCTAGCCTGGACCGCGCCCATTCAGATTACGATCTGTCTTATCATTTTGCTCACTGAGGTCAGTCTGTCATTAGAAGCTTACTTCGCTTGTGTTGACTGTACGAGTATTGCAGCTTGGCCCATCTGCCCTGGTCGGCTTCTCCCTCTTCATCCTCATGATCCCGTTGCAACAGTATATTATGACGATGCAGATGAAGGTCCGAAAGAAGGCGAACATCTGGACAGATCAAAGGGCGAGGACAATTCTCGAGGTCTTGGCCGCGATGAGAGTTGTGAAATACTTTTCGTACGAAGTGCCTTTCCTCAAGAGTGAGTGGCTGTTAGTGCCCACTCGTATTTATATCCAATCTGGCTGTCCACAGAGATTTCTGAGATGCGTAAGCATGAGCTCAAGGGTATCAAGGCCATCCAGATCTCTCGATCCGGCAAGTACGTACGAGGATCCAGCCGTTTGCAGAACTTCGAAGCACTGACAGACACACCAGCATCGCTTTGGCGTTCTCTATCCCAGTACTTGCCGCAACGCTGTCGTTCGTCACCTATACCGGGACCGCACATGATTTCAACGTCGCCATCATCTTCTCGTCATTCTCGCTCTTCCAGCTGTTGCGCCAGCCACTCATGTTCTTGCCTCGCGCTTTATCCGCCACAACCGACGCTCAGAATGCGCTGGCCCGTCTGAAGAAGCTTTTCGAGTCCCCACTCATGGACCATGCTCCTTTTGAGGTTGATCTGTCTCAAAAGCTGGCTTTGGAAGTGCGCGACGCGACTTTTGAGTGGGAAGAAAGTCTGGCAGCAAAGGAGGCCAAGGAGGAACAAGCGAAAGCAAAGGGAAAGAAGAGCAAAAGTACCGTTGTCACAAAGGTACCTGGCCCTAAGAAAGCGGGCGACTCGCAGCCATTCCAGGTCTGCAACGTCACCCTGCTCGTTCCTCGCGGTTCGCTTGTGGCCATAGTCGGCGCGGTGGGTAGCGGCAAGGTATGTGGTTTCTCCCACGCGTCTACAGGAATATCTGAAGAGATTACATCTAGTCGAGTCTACTCCAGGGCCTCATTGGCGAGATGCGCAAAGTTAATGGACGTGTTTCGTTTGGCGGCCCAGTTGCATACTGCGCACAGACCGCATGGATCCAAAATGCAACGCTGAGAGAGAACGTTCTTTTCGGTCTACCTTTTGACGAAGACAAGGTATGAACATCATCTCACCTCAGAGTCAACGCTTATCGTAGCCAATAGTACTGGAAGGCGGTGGAAGATGCGTCTTTGCTTCCTGATCTGCAGGTCCTCGCGGATGGCGACTTGACGGAAATCGGAGAGAAGGGTATTAACCTTAGCGGTGGCCAAAAGCAGCGAGTTAGTCACTATTCGTAACTGCTGCTTTTGTGATGTTGTTCACAGCCTGCCAGGTCAATATCGCTCGCGCTTTGTACCACGATGCGGACACAGTCATTTTCGACGACCCTCTGTCTGCCGGTAAGCATGAAATTTTTTCTTGGGTTGTCGACTACTAAATCAGCGATGCTTAGTCGACGCCCATGTTGGCCGCGCTCTATTTAACGACGCAATTCTCGGTGCTCTTCGCAACCGTGGCAAGACGGTCATCCTCGTCACTCATGCTCTCCATTTCCTCTCTCAATGCGACTATATTTACACCATCGACAACGGGAATATTGCGGCTCAGGGTAAATACAACGATCTCGTCGAACATAACGACACCTTCGCCAAACTCATGAAGGAGTTCGGTGGAGAAGACAAGCGCGAAGAAGGGGTCGAAGAGGAAGAAGCCGCCATGACTCAAGCTCCGCGATCCAACATCGGCATTGAGGAGGCTAAGCTGAAAAGTGAGGCCGTCGAACGGGTAGGCGCGGGAAGTGGGAAGCTGGAAGGTCGCCTCATCGTCGCGGAGAAGCGTACGACAGGCTCCGTCAGCTGGAAAGGTGAGCGTTATCCGTCTCGCGGTGGCAAGGCTGACAGTAGCTGCAGTTTATGGTGCTTACTTTCAAGCTGGCCGCTGGCCGCTCACCGTTCCGCTCATTATCATCTTCATGGTTATAATGCAAGCCTGCTCGGTTTTTGGTTCGTATACGCTGGTTTGGTGGGAGGGAAAGTATGTAGTCGTCCCACTCGCTTATGAAGCCTTTCGTCACTGACGGGTCTAAGCACTTGGAACCGCCCAAATTCATTCTATCAGATTCTGTACGCCTGCTTGGGCATCGGACAGTCGGCGTTCACATTCTTCCTGTACGTCTTATTGTTTGCTTTGTTTCGCGCATGCTAACGAAGGATGTAGTGGTATTGCTATGGATGAGATGGGAGCCTCCGTCTCGAAGAATTTGCATAGGAGCGCGATCAAGAACATATTCTATGCACCAATGACATTCTTTGACACAACAGCAAGTGCACATTCCGTTGGTATAATGAGCCCGATGACTTACTTTCCGCGACATTAGCCTCTCGGACGCATTCTCAGCATCTTCGGAAAGGATATTGACAGTATGATTTCCTCCTTCAATAGCTCAACACGCATTAGCTAACGTCCCTCGCAGGTGTCGATAACCAGCTGCCTATCTCTATGCGACTCTGTACGTTTCGCATATTTTTATCATTTTGGAGGAGATGCTTACCTCGAAACAGTCATTCTCACCGTCTCCAACGTTGTTGGGTCTGTCATTATTATTACCGTCTTGGAGCACTATTTCAGTAAGCACTACAGTTCTATATTCAACAAGTGTGCTTATAAATATATCTAGTTATCGCTGCGGTGTTTATCGCAATCGGCTACTCGTATCTTTCGGCCTTCTATCGCGAGAGCGCTCGAGAGCTGAAACGTATAGGCGCGTTAGTTGCCTTCGAGCCTGTACGAATCTCTGATCACAACTGTACAGATGCAATGCTTCGCTCTTTCCTTTATTCTCACTTCGCCGAATCGTTATCTGGCCTCCCCACCATCCGTAGCTACGGCGAGATTTCGCGTTTCGTGCACGATAACGAGTATTACACCGACCTAGAAGATCGAGCCGCGTTCCTGACAGTCACAAATCAAAGGCAAATCTCATTATTGTAGCTTGCGAAAATTTCGCTGACGACTGCCTTAGGTGGCTTGCTATCCGTTTGGACTTCCTTGGCGCCTTGATGTCCTTCGTCGTACGTTCAACTCTATGACGCGTCTTCTGCCCGGCTCTCTGACCGACTTGGACAGGTCGCAATGCTCGCTGTCGCCGCAGTCTCCGGCATCAACTCCGCGCAAATTGGTCTCGTCCTTACGTATACGACCAGTCTTACCCAGCAAGGCTCGGTGGTTACGCGTACATCGGCCGAAGTGGAGAACTACATGGCCGCTGTGGAAACCCTAACCCACTACAGTCATGGCAACTATGTGGAACCGGAGGCCCCGCACGAAGTCCCTGAGAAGAAACCTCCCGCCGACTGGCCTCAGCAGGGGGCGATCAAGTTCAACAATATCGTCATGCGTTACCGACCGGGCCTACCTTATGTGCTCAAAGGTCTTACATTCAATATACGGGGTGGAGAGAAGATCGGTGTGGTTGGGAGGTAGGTTAACATGCTTTGAAAGATCCAGAACTCGATCGCTGAGCTCTCATAGGACGGGCGCTGGGAAGAGTTCGCTCATGTTGGCTCTGTTCCGTATCGTTGAGCTGGCAGGTGGTTCCATCACCGTTGACGAGTACGCAACTTTGCGCTAAATGCTAAGTTCATGAACGTTGACGAGACGTGGCCGTGCAGTATCGACATCTCGGGGATTGGTCTCGCAGATCTGCGCACCAAGATCGCCATTATTCCTCAAGATGTAAGTGAACAGCGCTCCATCCTTGCATACGTTGTTGTTACTCACTTCGTCCATCTCAGCCTCTCCTCTTTAGTGGGACAATCCGGAGCAATCTGGATCCTTTCGATCTGTATGACGATGCACGACTTTGGGACGCTTTGCGACGATCGTATTTGATTGAACCAACGACTTCTGACAAAACATCTGACGAGAAAGAGACGACCAAAACACGCTACAATCTCGACACGCTCATCGAAAGCGAAGGCGCTAATCTCAGCGTCGGCGAGCGCAGCCTCCTGAGTCTGGCTCGCGCCCTGGTGAAGGACAGCAAGGTCGTCGTTTTGGACGAGGCCACGTACGCCTTCAGTATCTGTGCAGCAGGTGGACTCTCGCTAACTGCACATACAGTGCCTCCGTTGATCTTGAGACCGACGCAAAGATTCAACAGACCATTCAGACGCAGTTCAAGGACAAGACCCTGCTGTGTATTGCCCGTACGTGACCGGTGATCCGCGACCGTGGTTGGTGCCTGACAATCCCCCTGTAGATCGCCTTCGCACTATCATCTCTTACGATCGCATCCTTGTGATGGACGCAGGAATGGTCGCCGTAAGTTCTCAGCCATATACTTTCTGTCACCTCGGCTGACCTTGGCGTCCCAGGAATTCGACACTCCGCTGAATCTGTTCCTCAAGGATGGCAGCATCTTCCGTGGCATGTGTGAACGGAGCAACATCTCCTTAGACGAGATCGAAAAGGCTGCGTTGCAGATGGAAGACTCTTAGACGTTAGACGTTAAACGGATTTAAATTTCAGGTGTTTCACTGTATTAGATATAGTACACTGTCTCGTAGATCTCTATATGGAATATAGCTAGTGCAACAATAGCCCGTACTTTTGCTACGAATGAACCCTAGACACGGGACGGAGAAAGAGTAGAGCTAAACATCATGCCTAGGTCAGATAGAGGTGTTTCACATCAAAAACAGATATGCAGAACCGTTAGTCATGTTTAAGGTGCGTTCTTGAATGCGTTCAAGAACTGGAGATATTAGAGAAGAAGCCTAGTTGGAAGTCATTTTGTTGCGAACCCATCCAGGCGAAGCCTAAAAATGATATCCGTCAGTCGCCGTTACGTGCGATAGTCTCACAAGGCATAGCTTACCAGGAACACCCAGCATCGACGAATCAGCCATAGACGGCAAGAGCTCGTTGAACGGCAGAGGGGGGGCAAAGAACGGAGAAGAGTCCATCGCCATAATGTCCGGCTCGTGTGTGAGTGGCGAGGGCAGATAGGAATCCAGGAGCCCAGGGGACCGTACCTCTGGCTCGGGAGACAGCGATGGTCTAGCGCTGGGAGGGTTGGACGAGGATTGCCTGGAGTACAGGCTCCCGTCGTGTAGCTCGATCTTCTGCACCATCGGCGATTCGGACTTAGCCTTGAGCTGCTTCCTATGCGGGCCCGGGGAACGGTCGAGCCGCGCGGCGGCTTTGTCTAGCAGACCCTTCAGAAAACGCGAATAGAGCTTCGGGCTGTGTTGGTCGTCAATGGCAACCTCAGGAGAACCGAGAAGGTCGATGATCTGCTGAACGCGATCGCGAATCTGTTGGCGCTGGTTACGATCGAGGTAGGAAGCATAACGGGGCTGAAGGAGCTTGATGAGGAAGGCGCAGGCGAACGTCACGAAGACACTTTGCGCCTCGGGGCCATGGCGAAGGAAGATCTCTGTGGTAAGCAATGAGCAATCTTCATTCACTTGTGCCAAAGACTCGTTGCACATACTTTGCTCTGGGACAGCAATCTCGTCGAGTATAGATGCTAAGACATCCATGGCGGCGCGTAGACACTAGTATTTGGGTAAGCGAAAGAAGATTCTTCGATGGAAGAAACGTATGTACCCTATTAAGCAGGTCCACATCACGGCCGAGGTTGCTCTTGCCAAATGCATACTGGAAGCCCCACGACAAGACCGTCGTGCGAGCATAACTGTATGCCAGCCGAAGCAGCCCAGTACGGAACTTGCACTGCGGGTCGTTCGGGTCCGTATGCTCACGGACACGCTTGATCCACACGCTCCACGTCTGCGCAAGCTCGTCGTCAAACTTGCTCGCAATATCCGCGATGTCGAGATTTTTGTTGAAGCCCGTCGGGCTGTTCTTATCGCTGTTCACCATGTTGCGGAAGCGACCCATGATGGTGAGATCCGCGTTGTAGCAGGCGAGGTGGATGTCAAAGCCAGGCATGTTGTACGGCGAACTGTCACACCACTCGCCCGAACGATTCGCGACATAATCGTCGTTGTTGATGATCGGTGCCTTGCCGTACTGTGAGCTCGTCGAGCGATCCAGGTTGAAGCAGTTGAGCCACACGCGCGTACGGTTCAACATGGCGCGAGCGTGCATCTCATCGCGCGGTTTTGCGGTGATCGGGTGGTGCAAATTCAAGTCTGTTGCTATCCTGCAGAATGCTGTCACCTCCTGAGAACCGAGAAGCGCGTAGTGTGTACATACCGTATAGCGACACCCAGATAGATCCAGCTGCGGTCATCCTCCCACTTCCTTGAAGGGACAGGATACAGCGCAAGAAGGATATAGGCGTGCACGACATCCACGGACTTCTGCCCTCCGATGAGTGCGGTACCCGCCGCGAGCCGGGCGTAATGCATTGCCTTCTGGTAGAGCCCAGGCTTCTCGGTATAGAACCTTGATGCAATACCGCAGACTAATGGACTCAGCACAGGCCGTCAAAGAAATAGCTCATCAATCTACTCACTGACGGTGAACAGGAAATGGCTGTGCACGACGAGATATTCCATCGTGTAAATGACAGGGTCCAGCAGGCTGACAGACAGGTTCATGTAGTCCCAGTATCTGGAAAGCCACCAGCTAGTCAGTGACATGTAACGCAATCAGAGCATATACCCACATCTTGATCAGCTTCTCTGCCTCCTCGATCGTGATCAGACCGCTACGGAGGATGTGAGGCACGTCGTTCTGAGCCGGTGCTTTCTCCGGAGCAGAACCTGAGGAGTATACAGCTGAGCACTGTGCATCACGAAGAGGACGCAGACAACTCACTGGCACGGAAGAAGTCGGGGTTTGCAAGACCGACTTCCTCTTCCTCATCGTCCTCGCCCCCCATGCTGCTCTTCGATTTAATCCTTCTCAGTCCCGGGCTGTTCCGCAGGCTCATCTTCGCCATCAGCCCAAACGGCGCTGCCGGGCTGGGAATCGTCGCGATCGTTGCGAGCCGCTCCTTTCTGGGGGCGGTATCAGAGTTGTCCGACAAGCGGCGGGCCGCGCTCATGCGGTCCTCCTCGCCGCTGACGTCCTCGTCGGCCTCCTCGACCGTCACCGCATACTCCTCGTCGTCGTCCTGCTGCTCGTTCTCCGGATCGCTGCCCTCCTCTTCCGCCACAAGGTCGCCGCGCTTGACACTGGGGCCGCCCATGTTGATGTACCCGTCGAACGCCTGGATGGACTCGCGCGCCTTGGCGATCCAGTCCTGCACGTCCGCGTTCGTGCGCACCGAGGCCTGCGAGGACGCCCCGTCGTCGAGCTCGGGCGACATGAGCCGCGAGTCGGACATGGAGATGAACGAGAAATCCGTCGTCGACGTGGGCGACGGCGCACTCGACACGGAGGTGGCCTGCGCCATCCGCATCCGCTTGTTCGCCTCCTCGAGCTCGGACATAAGCGTCTTGATCTTCTCTGCCTGTTCACGAATCTGGTTCAATAGCAGCTCGCGCTTCCTGTAGAGATCTGTCAGAGCAGGGCGGGCGGACTAGGTGCAGCTGAGACGTACGGAGGAGGCTGGCGCTTTTTGCGGCCAGGGATCGTGCACTCGCCGCCGCTGCGGTAGCATCGCTTGCAGGTGTCGGGATCCTCCAGCGATGGTTCACATTTGACCTTCAAACCCTTGCAGCGCGTGCATGCTCTAGAACGCGAACCCAGGGTAAGATGCTGAAATAGCGCGAGTCGTGCAACAGAGAAGCTCACGGTCGCTTATTTGCGGCATCAGCCTTGCCCGGACCACCCTCCTTCTCCTCTTGAATAAGCTCGTCGTAGTCGTTCGGCCGCAGCCTCTTCTCAGCTCTGGCACTGACATCGATCTGCCCATGGTGATACGGTGGATGGAAGGATGAGGAGAACGGAGCAGGTGGAGAGTTGTAAGACCCGCCATGCGATGAGCCGGCCCCGACGTATGGGCTTTGTGTCTGTGTAGAGTTGTACTGCCCATAAATAGACCCATCCTGCTGGAAGCCCAGATTGGGTGAGCCTGCAAACATATGGGCCTGGCCTGGGAACTGTTGGTGTTGGTGTTGCGGCTGCTGCTGGGCGGCGCCGGGGGAGCCGCGGGGCTGGAAGAACGCTTGGGTACCGTCCATAGTGGACGCATGAGGCGGTTGTACGGTGAAGTTAAAGCCCTGTTGTCCATTCGGCGCGAATGATGAGTCGAACTGCTGGAAGGCTCCGTTGTGGCTCGACGACGACATCTGGCGATGAGCTGCGGAGCCATTCACACCATTCTGAGAGAGCGGGAAAGCGTTGGGATCCAGAGGGCCGTACTCCCCGAGTTCGAGTTGCGGAGGGACTTGCTGGTCGTTCCAGACGGCGTCCATGTCGAAGGGCGATGTAGACATGGGTGACAATCCTTGATTCTACGGATCCCATATAAGCTGACTGACGTGCATGGGAATACGCCATGTGGGCTTGCCTTAATTGCGGAGCTATGTCCGGCAGGAGAATAAGATGAGGTTTGCACCGGTTCAGGCGTTCTGGAGAGACGTCTTTATGCACAGGAACCTTGTCGCGGTACACAGAGGCTGTGATAAGGGTCGATTGGCAGCTGAAAGGACGGGGACTCTGTGCGCTTGTGGACGGGCGCGAGAGCCAAATAGAGCGAGGGAAGGACGATCAAAAGACCGGAAAGCTGTGCAAAAATCAATGAAAATGCTGTAAAGGCAGGTGTCTACTGCCTAGGGTAACCTTTGTGGCCACGCAGAGGGAATATTGAGAAGCAGAGGCTCGTCGTTGCGTTCGACCAAGCTTCTGGGGGCGAGAGATGCACTCGCGAGCCCCTTATGTACACGAGAGACCCACGGCAACTTACAGATACGCACAGTCCTCTGTTCGCGGCATGGCGACCAATGTCTTCGGTCAGATGAGGACGCGGCCAAAGCGGTGCGACCCCTGTGCAGGCGCTACTCATCTTCTCTCTCCTCGCGCCCAACCTGTGCCCTAAGTACAGGTCACTTTCCACCATGGGCATTCCACTCTCACTCCTTACGTTTACCACTTTGAGGCGATGCACTCTCCCCCAGCAGCCTCCGCCACCCTTGCATTCCGTTTCCCGGCCCACGGGAACGTGTGATTCATATGCAGATCACCAAAATTCCTGCAGCTCTGATACCGTATGCCTCAGGTCAGTTGCGCAGCTCCTGCAAGCTGCCACTGGTTTGTCCCAAGATTCACGCGCGCGTCTTCAAGAATCAAGAATTAGGGCTTGGACGGGCTTGGTGGGCTTCTTCCAGCGTTCCGCTAGTCGTCGGCGCCGCTAGTTGGTCCCACCACGAACTGGCTGAGGATGTGACACGACCGCATGGTCGACTTAACGTGCGCCTAAGCGCGTCTTACATGCCGATGTTTGATGCCGTACTCGACGGATAATTCCGACTTGTCGCGCAACGTCTTGGAAGCTGGGGCCTACTTGCGTTCGTCGTTTCATGCGCTTGAGTTTGCGCTCATGCTTACGCTCTGGAACGTACGACAGAGACGTCGTCTTACAGCATTGAGACAAGCCCGGAGCTTCCTCCCGCGACACATCTGACAGTGACTAGAGATGAACCTAATGCTTGTCTAAGGGTGATGATACTCGACAACCAATGCTGTCCCACGCATACGTTCCCCCGCGCGGAGTGATAGTCATTATCAACAATACAAGGTTATTACCACGTGCACGCGAGATACAAAGTAGAACCTGATTGGCTGGCGAGGGAATGCATGACCCTTTTCCAGCCCTTTCCCTGCCTTTTCATTGCACTAGTGACATCATCGTGATCTCGCTCTTACATCCCTGCCGACCCTTTGGAACCTCCATTGACGACGTCGTCGGTGCTCGGTAGACCTGGCGACAGAAACAAGTTTAGCAGCGGCTGCTCACGCGTGCGCGCACTGGATGACGGTGAGTACAGCAGCAATTACTTTCTCTGCACATCGATCATGCCCACTGGTACTAGCCATGATCTCGACGCTGTGCTCAAGTTGACGATGTTGTTGACTGGAGACAGATGCCAGTTTAGCAGCGACAGATAATGATTGTGGTGAGCTCTCGATGATTATGCCCAGATGTACGTGATTCTGCCACTGATTTGGACACACAGCCGGCGGCCTTCACATACCTACGACGCCTCCAAAGCGAGCAATATGATGATCCCTGATGGACGTGTACAGATGTGATCACTGCTGCAGGATATGCGTGTGAGGGCGGCGAAGAGCGACATGTATCTGTCTATCAAAGCAGCGTGAAACAAGCAACAGAATGCGACGGCCGCCATCGTGAATGCCCGGCTTTGCATGAGCCGTGACGTCCAACATGGACTGTGCGGGACAACGTAGCAGTCTGGAAGAGCACAAGATGGGAGGTACAGTTGCGGTGAGCGAGGCATGGAACAGCAAAACCGCCTCATCCAAGGTGTACGTCCGCTTCCATCACACGCCGACGTGGATGTGGTCTAGGTTTATTCCCATATATGCAAGAAACTCACCCCAACCGCTGGTCTGCGTACAGCATCTATAATATTGATCCTCGGGTAAGTTAGATTACCCCTTTGGCCTTACCCATTGGGCCATCATACGGTACAAGAATGCTATCGAGCAGTGAAAACTATGTTCTTGGAGTTCACTCGGCCTACCGAACGTTCGAGTTTATGAACCTGTCTGCGTTGAGTGTGGTGCTTGACATGTCGAGTATCCCATTGCTACTCGGAGGGTTACCACTGCCTTGGAGGGGAAAATGTGTTGACCAGGCCGTGTTCACGCTACATCAGGATATCCTACCGCTGTCCAAACAATATCAGTGGGTCGCCGTTGTCGATGGAAAGGAAGTCTCGTTCAGCATCGGCAAGCTCAACATGACTGTGGGCCTGCCCGCGTGTCCCATCTGTGGTGCGCTTTGTGAGTTGCCCCTCTCCACTATGAGCAAGCTTATCCTGATATGACGTCGCTAGTGCCATACCACAGGTTACAGATAATCGGCATGCACCTTCGTTAACTACTTTCCAGGATTATCGTGTACCGTGATGAGGAGGTCAGCATGTAAAATTTTTCATATGTCACGGTGAGACCTCAAATCGTTATGGCCAGCTTTTCATGACGACTGTTCTGTATTGTGAACATTATACTACTGACTCGCTTCGCAAGAAAAATACCTATCTTGTCAAGGGTATCAGCAGGTCGTCTCGTCGGCATTATTCAGCAACCGCGGCCTCGCACGCGGGATCCCGATACCGGGCTCGGTGTCATTACCAGCTATGTCGGCGGTATCACCGTGACGATGGCGGGCACATGCTTAGCAGCAGCCACTGTTGAGGAGCACCTTCGCTGTTTGCGCTATGACAACTTTTCCGAAGACCATTGGACCACTTCTCTGCTGAGTTCAGTCTGAGTTCAGTACCAATATATGTTTCCCTGCATCACGAATTGTGACATATCAAGTTCTCAACGAGCCCGTGCGCTAACGCGGATCACTGCTAATTCACGCTTACATATCCTATTCCGAGCTTCGGCGCGTATTCGGCGCTTCGACATATCAGGGTCCCAACGCAAGCGCATCAGCCGCCATTGATGAGAAGATGCCGCGCCCGGCACTTTGCGTTGTGAAGGAGATGTTTCACGCTCAAGCTCATAGCCGACAACGACGTCCGCCGCCTCAGGACACTCCCAATCCTTCGTTTTCACCCTCCCTGCCCTCGCTGAGCTCGAGGCGCTGGACGTTACACTCCTTTGCTCGCCCGATACGACGCTCCGCTCTTCCGGTACGCCTTCACATCTGGCAAATTGCGGACAGTTCTGATAGAGTTGCCCGCAAGGCGGTACACGTCTGTTCATCGAGCAACGCCCCTTTTCTCCCACCTGAACTTTCCCTTACGCCTGTACATCCGCTGTGTGCTGGCGCAGGTCTATGCTCTTACAGTCGTCACTCCTTTTTTAACATAACAGCACCATTCGCCATGCACATTGGCATCGCAATCGCAAGACATGACAAGCGGCAGACCCTCGGAAGTGGTACATCCACTGTTGGAGAAGCTTCCCCCACCGACAGCCAACTTATTATTTCCACCGGTGTCCTTCCTGACGCAACCTTGGCTATCCCACTTGTATCAGGCTTTACTCCCACAATCTCGTCCATCGCAACCTCGACAGCTGCATCTTCTTCCTCTGCCTCTCCCGCCGCGACATCCAACTCCGCTGCTTTGAAAGGCTCATCCTCAGTGTCTTTGTCTACGGTCATTGCTGCATGCGTGGGGGCATTCGCCGGTATGGCTCTGTTGGTCAGTATCTTCATATGGTGGTCACGGCACCCGAGCACAAAATCGCGCAACCTACCACGTTCACCTGTGGCCGAGAATCGCAATGCCCGTGGAAGAGAGGAGCAGGAGCGGACGCGCAGTGGGATGTGGAATAGGCTAGATGAGAACAAGTGGGAAGGTGACGTTCCCAGCAACGCAGCAGATGACCCAGCAGGAGGCAGACGAGAAGAACTTTTCCATGTTCAAGAAAAGGTCGCCCAGCACGCGCACGACGCGTACGGCCAAGGTTCTGGAGGAACACGGCTTCGACATGCCATCTATCCCCACTGAGATCTCAAAGTATCGCCCCGGTCTTGCCAAAGAGCTCGCTTTGGAAGACGCTTTGGAAGAGCCCGAACGGCCTTACGCTGCCCGTCAGGACAGCGGAGTCTCCTGGGACGGCGAGACCCTTGGTGACGACTCGTTCCTCTCACTACGCTCGGTTCGCATCGAGTCTGGTTCCATGTCACCCACGATAGGCATGGCGAAGATGACGCCGCCGGCGATGCCTTCGCAACTGCATTACTGGGAATCTGCTGAGGTCGTCACAATAGGCGATTCGCCAGCCGCGGGCTCGTCCTCCGAAAGTGCCAATCCATTCGCTGATGCGAATGAAGATAAGCGCAGAAGCCACTCCAACCCCTTCTTCAACGCCGGAGAACTCCACCGAGCGTCCAGTCGCCGGAGTCGTAGCAACAGCCGCGGGCAATCACAGTCTCGCCGTGCGAGCCGCTCCACCGTCCGCGTTCGCGTCGCCAGCGAGGTCGGCAGTGCCATCGATCCCTTCGCCGATATCACTGATCCTCCGCCTGCCATCTCGTTGCCCGATAGTACACTCCCAAACAGCCCGGCGCACCGGCATAACATGTCGCTCGCGAGCGACGAGGCAGAACAAGCTATGGAGGCCTCGGACCGTGCGATGCAGTCGCTCATTGCTGCCCTCGACCTTACAAAAGGGTCGGGCGACACCCGGTTGCGCATTCAATCGACGCACTCCATAGTGTCCCTGCAGCCATCACCGTCATCTGCGTATTCCTTCCAGTCGGGTGAGATAGGAGTTGCGCGGGACTCCCCACCAAGCCCCGTGTCCCCTCAAGCTCACTGATTCGCCGCATAACACCGCATTGTCATACCATATTATCTCTCCGTGTACCCCTCACCTCCTTCTCCACCCACCCTGCATGATTTGCTGTTTTTATCACTTGTATACGCTGTGAGCACCGACCTGCCTGCTATATCAGCATCAATCCTTTCCCCCTACACCATCGTTTAACTGCAGTCTTGCCTATCCGGCGTTTTATCTCGATCCGGAATCGCTTTCACCCCCGTTGACCGCACCCACCCCGTTATGCTCGCCGTTGAGCTTGACTAGTACCTTACTCCGCTCCTACGCTTTTTCTTGATCCACTGCCCTCGAACCGAAGTAGCTGTACATACCCTTAGGTACACAGTCCAGACGCGTAGCCGTCGTGTACTATTTTGTTCACTCATCGCCGCAGTATTATATTTATTGATGAAGACATCCTGTCGGATCTGGCGTTGCGTGACGGATTATGGCATGGAATGGCACAAACATCACCTGGAGAAGGCAGCTGTCGGTGTTGTCGACGCCTCTGGGAGCTTCAGCTTTAACTCTATTGCTATTTTCCCTCTGCACTAGGGAGCTGCGGAAGATGGTCGCCATGTCCATCCCGCATGCTGCGTGCGTGTGGTAAGCGCAAACGGCTTCGAGAGCCCGATGTGCGCCTTCCCGATAATTGACTAGAGATAGCCTTCGCGATCTCGCAGACACACAGGGATCCACAAGTCTTCTGTGGTGTTTGGAGGAATATGTGGCGAAGACAAAATTATTGGGATGATCTAGGAAACCTGCCTTATCTGGTGTCGGCCGGGTATCGCGAGCGTAACCATCTCCGCCGTGCGATCACCTTCACACCCCTTGCAACCCCTCGATTCGCCTGCAGGGAGTTTATAAAACCACCCAGCGCAGTGCTCGGACACCTCTTCCTTCCCCCGGCTCCTGTCGCAGGCTTTCAGCCTCCTCCTTGCGAGCAGTCCGACTCCTGCACTGCGCACGACCCTCCACTCATTTATCACGACATTCCTTTAGCCCACACCGACAATCCCTACCGCATAGCATCCTATTTCCATCGACATTTTATCCGCAAACACAGACGAAGGGACATATTACCTCATAGACATGGCCCCCTCCGTCTTCGGTGCCTTGCAGCCCATCGCATCGCTTGTCTCGCGCGACGAGACGCCCGATCAGACCGACCAGAAGAAGCTCACGCCGACGCTCATAGGCGGCATCGTCATCGCAGCCGTGCTCGCGGTGCTCGCGGTGGGCGCGCTCCTGTTCCGTGTCTTCCGCAAGAGGGCGTCCTCGAAGCGCGAGGCCGAGCGCGGCGCCGCGTTCCTCAACGTCCGGGGGCTCGTCAGGGAAGACGACCAAAAGAGGTGCGTCTGCGCGCCTGCTGCTTTTTTTCACCCCCAGCCCCTCACGCGCGTCGCGTCGCCACAGCTCCGGCCTCGCGATGCACGGCGGCCAGTTCTCGCGCGAACAGATGACGGAGAGCGTCGTGCTTCCCGCGCGGGTCGTCATCCACGCGGACGGCGCGGACGCGAACAAGGAGATCCTCGACCACTACGCCGCGCAGGGCGCGCTCCCGAAGCCGTTCGCGCCGTTCATGGGCAGCACGGCGCGCCTCGCTGCGCCGTCCCCGGAGGAGGAAAAATCCGCGAACCGCCAGAGCACGGCGTCGTGGATCTCCATCTCGCGCAACTCACTCTTCGCACCGTCCAACCGCTCGTCGATCTCGTCGATCGCCAGCAGCATGGTCTCCAGCAGCGCCGGCGGCGACAAGCGCAAGGTGCGCCAGATGTTCAACCCCGTCCTACCCGACGAGCTCGTGGTGTCATTGGGAGAGTCTCTTACTGGTGCGTGCGAACCTGCTCGAATCTCACAGAGCATGCACTGATGCCTGCGCTAGTTGTCAACTCGTTCGACGACGGCTGGTGCATCGTCGGCCGCGACAGCGTGTTCAAACCTGGCGAAGTCGAGCTTGGTGCGATCCCCGCGTGGTGTTTCATGAAGCCCGTACAAGGCCTGCGCGCCGAGCGTCCTATGCGTACCTCCAGTCTGGGTGTCACCGTCACCCTCGAGGCCGAGCCCGGGGCTCGCAACGATGTCATATCTTGGTCCAACTTCTAGGCCCATGCTTCTGATACCCACATGTTGTTTTCTTCAAGATCTGCTTGTCAGCGTGATGCCGCTGTATCACTATCCCCGAGGCTCGGGCAGGCTGCTGCTATAGCTTATTGTTCTTTCTCCCCTGTATTGCTGGTACATCTTTGCCATTGCTCGCAGTTACCCCCGCAGATGACTATTTGGATGGAGCTGGGCTCAGCGGTTACACACCATCCCACACTCGCTCTCGTGTGTACTTTCGGGCTCCCCGTATCATGTTTGCTGAATATTTATATCAACGCCTAGTCGCGTTGTTGCAGGTCGTATCGACGATGATCGTCTCAGAATAAAATATGTTTGTTACCGAGCATGTGCCTGCATGTGCGAGCCGTCGCCCCGGCATCCAGTGTTCAGCCTTGTCTTCGGTTGTTGCGTAGCGACGGCGGGGGAGCTTGGCAAAGCAGTGTGCACAGCGCCACAAAGCGAGCGCTCATTTCGGCCGCAGCTCTTCCCGGTTCCGTCATGTCGAAGGCCGTGTTCGTGATTGACTTTCTGTCTGTTGCATAGCATGGCTTACCTTCTTGAATGAGATGTGCGTAGATCGGCCGTAGGCGTCGGAAGGAATCACGCTCCGTGCGATCTGCAGGCGACGAGCACGAGCGCCATTAAACTGCCTGTGCCTGTGCCTGTGCCTGAAATTAGCGTCAATATAAAATCTCAAAAATCCGACTTTGACTGCCTTTATTCGAGCGTTCAAATTCGTCCTTCGTCTGTACTGTCGTGCTTGCTGCTCGCTGAGCAGCTGCAACCTTTCCGCTCCTTGATTGAAAATCGCCGTCCTTACAATACTTTCTTTCCTTCAAGTCCGCAAGCATGCTCCTCGCGAATCTCCTGGCCGGTGTCGTCTTCTCGCTGGCTGTTACGCCCAGCACCGTCGCGATGCCTTCTCTGGGCATCTCCGATGCGGTTGCACGCGAGCTGACCTATCACCCCGTCGGACGCTCCCTCAATCCTTTGGAGATCTCCGTGACTGCTTCGAAGCACAAGAGAATGACGAATGCAGAGAGGTTGGCCAGAGGATTGCCGCTGAATGTGCCGATGCGTAGGGCTCCTGGTGAGTGAATCGACGTGTATTTATCAGCTGAGCGTACGATTAACGAACGGTGCAGGTCGACTGAGGGTGCGCACGTCGCCCACACCAACTATGAGCGCCTCTGATACTCCATCCCCAACACCAACCCTGCGCCGCCTTCATCCTCTTCGAGTTCTCCTTTCACTTCATCTTCTGCGCCATCTGACTCCAGTTCCTCCTCGAGCTCTTCCTCTAGCGTATCTTCTTCGCCCTCCATTTCTTCTGCCTCATCCGCGCCCTCAGCTGTACCGACCTGCACCACTACGAGCGGCAAGATTCAAATGCAGTACACGGATTCCCAAGGTCAGATACAGAGCGGGTGGCTGTCCGCCTCTGCCAGCGCCTTTGGCGAATACGCTTTCACTACGAGTGTCGGCCAAGCGATGCTCCTAGCCTACCAGATATGCGAAGGCGACGCTGCCGGAACCCCGGTCACATTTTTTTCCACCGTGATTTTTTTTTTGCCATACTGTAGTTCCAGTGAAGCTAAATCATCGCCAGAACGGACCCGCTACTTACCCATACCTTGCTGGCGTCGTCGGCTTCGCGAGCTTGAACAACGACTTGGGCCCTGACATGTTCAACTACGTGTACATCGGTGGCTCTGCTATGGAAGGTGAGTATCCCATGCTTGTTCCTCGATGCCGGCAGATTAATGGACGCCGCTACAGTCCCGGCCGGACCAGCGCAGTACGAGAAGAATGCCTTCTCCGATGCTAGCGGTGCCCGAGAGGGTCTCGAGACTGCTATATGGTCCATCGGCGCCGGAGGAGCGATTGCTGCCCAGTGGGTCAACACCAACGGCGGTAAATCTTCCTCCCCTGCTCCTTGGACCGTCTCTAACAGCGTGACGGGCGCACAGCTGTGTTCACCCCGCAGATTGCCTATATACCTTCCAGTGGCGCTTTTGCACTCCTCGGCGACGTTTCCCAGTTCATTACCAACTTTGGCGGTGCATACCCTGCGGTAAGTGTTTTGCTGGGACCAGACGGCTGACGGCGCTAACGCGACGTCGAACTAGACTTGGACGTTTGTCACTAACATCCAAGAGTAGTTCGATTGCTTCGTAAAGAGGACTGCGCAGACAGGCCTCATACTAGGCCAGTTTGCTACTGCCGTAGTCAACTGTCTCATCGTCAAGCAGCATGGATGGATGCGTTGTGGTCTTTAACAGAAAGGACTTAACAGGATTGTCCTTTTCTTATTGCGAGTTCTCTTCGGACAGCTAAGAGTAATTACACAGTATACGTCCGCGCCAGGACACACATAATGTTCACACATTGCGCGTATGTAATCAGCGCACATTGTTAATCAAGTGTGCAATATTCTCTGACTGGCCGCTGTCAATCCGCGACTGCCGGCAGCGTCGTTTCCGAAGAATTGCAACTCGATCTTACACCACAATTGATGCCACAAGATCCACAGCAATTACATCTGGCCGTTTCGCTCTTCACGGTTGCTTGCGCTTCCTTGCGCTCTGAGGTCAGATTATAGTGCCTTATATTTGAGGCTGAGCATTTAACTCGGTCTACAGGGGGCTCTTTGGCAGTTTATAAGCAAAAGTCCTGACTCTGTAGAGGCCAGCACGTATGAGCGTAAGAGTTTAGCTCCTCTCTACGGGCAGGGCAGGTACCAGCGTCTCCGCTTGCTTGCTCCTCGGGCCAGCTGAAGTTTTCATTCTGCCTTCGTTGTCCTTGAATGCCTGCTCCTCCGTCTTCACAATCTCCATGACATTGAATTTTTGCAGGCGGTAGTAATCACGAACAATGCCGATACCACACACGCTCTAGGGGATGCACGTTTAATGTCGAGTGTCGCTGAATGATTGGGGGGTACGACGCACTTTGAAGATTTCGATGAGGATAAACACCTCTGGGCTCTCGAGGTCAACTTTGCAAATCCCTGGCACGCACTTGGCAACCTCCTCGATGATTTTCAGTCGTGTCAAGGTGTTGTGATTTCGCATCCGTAGTTCAATTTTGTACTGATTCACTGGGATAAGAGGACGTACAAGAGTCAAATAAAGTGGGACATACGGTGAAGGTCTTCCCATCAGCCAAGAACGGCGCGAGGAGCTTGCTACAAAGAGCTGTGATTTCCTGCAAGTTGGTGATGCACGTAGCTGAGACTGGTGTCAGTCTCTGCACGGCTCTAAGCGTGAATCAGAACATAACTGACAACAATAATCGGGCGATGTGTACCTTGTTCGTGTGACACCTGACTCAACGACGCCCGCGATGTATCTCGTGACCAGCTGAACCGGATCCACTGGCGGCTTGCAGGATAGTGCAACGACTAAATGCAAGCGCTAGATTCTCGATCTCCCTTCTGCAAAAAGGCTAAAATGCGTACAGCATGGAGTGCTTGTCTGACAGCTTGCTGTAGAACCAAAATGCGTGAGCACACCGCGCAGATTGCAACGAGACAGGACATACCGAACCTTGTCTCTTTCTTCGGACGCTTCATTCCGGACATCTCTTTTGCGATCTGCCTTTCAATGTCATCGTCATCGTCATCGTCCTTGTCTTCATCACTGGCATCTTGGGCTTGCGCCTCACCCTCGCTTGGCCACGTTTCTGAGGCAAGCTCCAAGGAATCAGCTGCCATGAGCCCAGCGTATAAAAAAAAGGAAGAGCATACCTGTTCAAATAGATCATATAACTCTCCTACAGCTTGCTTCTCTTTGCCTCGTATACAGGTTACCCACACACCAGGGCCTTCGATGCTCATGCGGATCGGGGTTCCATCCTAGGACTTCAGCGATGAGGATGGAATGCTTGAGATAGAAATAGGAATTACATAGCGAAACCTCCTCCTAGGCTTATCCCTAAAATCTCGTTTGCGTTTGCCGTCAGACATCGCGATCGATGTGAGGAATATTGAACGAGAAGACGTTAGAGACCCATAAATCTGCAGCTATGAGACATAGCTATAGGGCGCCGTCTTCATAAAATGCCTCGTTGGCGTAGTGGTAGCGCGTCGCACTTGTATGCTAATATAATGCGAAGGTCACTCGTTCAACCCGGGTACGAGGCATTTTGTCGCTGTCTTCTTCCTTTTTTTCGTGTTAAGAGAATTATGTAAATTGTCAATTGTAAGCTTGTGAACCAGCCTCTAAATTGTGGAAGGGGTAAACCACCGTTCCTCCATCTGGGGGAGGTCTGCGGACTTTGAATTTCCTCGGCATTCTGCGAACACGATAGTCGAGAGTGAACGTTGACCTTCGTTTGCAACCCCCTCACGAGAGGCAGAGTATGCGATACCTTGAATGTATTTTTGATATCAATTTCTATGCGCTTGGTTATTTCCAAGTCTGTATGAGTAGCCGTAGCTTGCCAAGAGTGTCAATGACCCGTTGGAGGGCATGCTCCGCATGCACAACTGCCCAACTGGCTGTAAGCTCTGAATAAAATTCGGACATTTAAGTATTTGAATGAGCTGGAGCATCTTTATCGGAGAAATACTACGGGATACCATGAAAAAGCTGATGCAATACAGCCAGTTGCGAAATGATAGGCCACTTTGAAACCTTAGCTATAGTACAGTGACTGATGCTCCGACCTACAGTGACGACCTAAAGTATTGCAACAGACTACAGAGGGGTGTTAAGATTCCTCAATATCTCCGTGAATATTACAGATGGCTGGACACATTGTATATGGTTTTTAAACTGGACAACTAGCTGTATTTTCTCAAGGTATTGCCTTGTAGCAGAAGGTGTATGCTGGAAGAGTATATCAAAAATAGCTGGAAATATGCATATTTATCATATAATTTGTAGTATAATACAGACTGTAGAATAAAATTGACTCTGCACATATTAAAATGGAGCTAGTTGTATAGTATGTGTACAAATATAATGATGTGATTAGGCATCCATTTGAATGAACTGTAGAGCATATCACATTCATTGCAACATGCAACAGTGTATACTCATATGCTTCAAACATAATCAGGTGCTGAAGTTCTTATATTTTGCTACTATATCTCTCTCCTAGTAAAGTGCATACTGTAAACAGATTTTGGGAAACTTTCCTCTCCACATTGTGGAGTTAGATATGTGCAAACTGCTATAACAGAAACAAGCCAATGTGATATGCCCTACAGTTCATTCAGATAGATGCCTAATCACATCAATATATTTGTACACATACTATACAACTAGCTCCATTTTAATATGTGCAGAGTCAATTTTATTCTACAGTCTGTATTATACTACAAATTATATGATAAATATGCATATTTCCAGCTATTTTTGATATACTCTTCCAGCATACACCTTCTGCTACAAGGCAATACCTTGAGAAAATACAGCTAGTTGTCCAGTTTAAAAACCATATACAATGTGTCCAGCCATCTGTAATATTCACGGAGATATTGAGGAATCTTAACACCCCTCTGTAGTCTGTTGCAATACTTTAGGTCGTCACTGTACATGGCTGCCTGACACCATCGTGAGCACTGAGCGTGAGCGATGGTGAACCGCTGAACGAGTCACATCCAAAGCTCACAACCCTGATGCCTCTGCTTCCTTACACTGTACTGGTCAACCTTTGGCAACACATTCCTAAATAGCACAAGATGCACCCGCAGTCAGTATTCAACGCTTACGACGGTGCACGGCAAACACAAGAGAAATTTGGGACTTTTTTGTCACAAAAAATATGCGAAAAAAGCTTGAAAAAATAAGTAAGAAAAGGCCGTATTTTTTCACTCGGTATCCGGCATCCCGGCAACTCGGCAATCTGGCATTCGAGCCGATTATCCGCCGGGTGCCGCCGTCCCCAGGGCACTTTGATAGACGGCCTGGCGGACAGTCGGCTCGGCTGCCGGATTGCCGAGTTACCGGGCTGCCGGATACCGAGAAAAAATATGACATATTCTTATTTATTTTTACAAGCTGTTTTTGCATTTTTTTTGCAACAAAAAAGCTCCAAATTTCTCTGGTGAAAGCGTCTGCTACGTGATGCAAGGAGATCACCGAGCGGAACTGCAATTGCTGTAGCGGAAAAAACCTGGGGTGGCCTATCGTTTCGCAACTGGCTGTAATACACGGCCTGCACCACATTGTAGCGGCTGCAGCTATCGGAGACTGATTCTTTTGATGATGTACGCTTCGACATTCAGAATTCGCGGACCTTCCCCCTGGGAGGACGTCCTGGCCCATGTCAATTGACAGTTGTGAAGCTCAGAGGCAAACATTGCCAGCCATTTCGCGGTACACATTATGTAAAATCCTAGTGCCAACAGCCCAATATCGACGTGTCGCGTAAAGCTGTATTCGCGTGCAACAAATCCAGTCCGAAACAGTAAGCTCCACTAGGTCCAGCCCATCCGGCTACGCAACATATTATGGGTTGAAGACAGTAAATTTAGGATAATAACAATACGCAAGCCTGCGTCATAATTGCATGCTGTACTCCTCGTCTATGGCGGTCACAAAGTCGAGCATCTGCAGCCCGGTTATTCATATGCTATGTATGTGGTGAGGTACCACGTACCAATTGATGTCTCTTCTCTGCCATGACCTTGCCAGGCGCAGTCTTAAGCTGTTCCCGGATGTGGAAGAGTTTGTCGTAAAAGTGCTGAATGGCTGTGTCCGGCCGGGCTGGGTCGTCAGAGGCAGCGTAGAGCGGCCTGCGGAGAACACGTTCGATGTTGATCACAGTGACCCACGACAAACCGGTACTTGCCTATTGACGGCGGCGCTATATGCGGCGCATCGGAGGATGCCTAGACGAGACGAGTATAAAACGCAGGAATATGGAGACGAGGATTGCCGTGCTTACCGAAGGCCCCGATCGCATCAAGCCTATCTGCGTCCTGCACACAGTGCAGCTCGACACACTCCCTATGCCAATCTGTGATGAGCCTGGCCTCGCGGAGCTTCTTCTCTGTACTCCACGAGACATTCGTGACAATCTTTGCAATGTCACGTGCACGCCCATCTTTGACAAGATTTACCCCCGACTCTGCGGCCCACTTTTCAAAGAATGGCAGGAAAAACTTGTACGGATCCGCGGCCTGCTCCGATGTGGCGTACTTCTTGTCAAGCACGTCGTGCAGAAGCGCAGCGAGCTCGACGGTGAGGAGATCTGGCTTGCGCGAGCAGTCGTCCTTGGAGACCTGTTTCGCAAGGTGCATGGCAGTCTTCCGTACACGTTGCACTAGGGCCAGTGAGTAACGTAAGTGTTGTACAACTCCCTACGTTACGGAGCGCGTACCGTGGAAGTTATCATGAGAAGGATCATAGCGAGCCATCGTCTTCTCGACCAGCTGCTCCGCGGCTGCGATGATCTTCACCTCATCTGCAGTTGGGTAGACCATCCTGCAGGCGTTGTCTAGGTCGTTGACGTCGAAGAAGTCAAAGGTTCTGAAATAAATCGAACATTGTCCCGTTCACGCGCGTCCTTGCACATGTGCACACGAACGTGTCGGGAGAAAAACGATGGCCATCACTTGAGCTGCCATAAAAGGGAACACCACAAGCGCGATCAGCTTCGCGACGAGCCTCCTCCGTGGCAAGCTTGTAATAACCAAGTAGACCGACGCGACCCCCATGCCCGTCCTTTCACGCAGGGCACTCCTGCTGTTCGCTGTACTGGCGAGCGTAGCGATCGCCTCGGCTGTTGTTAAAGAGGTGGATCAGACGACAGCAGTACCGGTAAGCACGTCGTTCTGGGCCACGTTCAGATGCGCATAGCACAGCTCGCATCCAAGTGACTATCTACTTTCCTCGTGCGGGTAAACTTACGTCGCATTCTTCGTTCGTAGGATACAGAAATTTACAAATGTGAACCTGTGAAGCGACTAAGTTTGCTGAAGGAGGAGCTCGAGGCGACACAGTCACCAATCATGCGACAGATCTTCTCCTGGTTATTCCCCTTCGGTCCAGCATGGAATTCAGGTACGGCATGCTCTAAACTATGCTGCAGGAGTTGTAGGCACTGAATGCTCTGTATACGGCAGTCTTGGGTACATTCTACATCAGCTCGTAAGCAAAGTCGATAGTCGTCTTACCCTGAACGCACTGACACCACTCTTGTGCCTGGAATGGCCCAAAGGGTACCAAACTTCATTCTCGCATTTATTCCGGCGGAAATTAACCCCAATACGCTCAATACAATGACTGCGTTTGCAGTATGTCGAGATGCTGAGATGTCCCATTGCTGTATCTGACGAACGTGCAGACAGGCGGGCTCCTGTCTGACGTATTCTTGCACCTCGTTCCACACTCGTTCATGGGAGAGCATCAGGATGGCGGGGTGCACTTTGTCATGGTGGAGGAAAAGAGGAACATTCTAATAGGGTATAGTTCGCTTGTGGTCTTCTCTTGGCCCGCCGTTGCTGACGAGTAGTTCTCAGGCTTGGGATATTTATTGGCTTCGCGTCGTTCTTCATCATGGAGAAGACTCTGCGTGTTCTAGGTGGAGACAACGATCACGCACATGGGCACTCGCATTCACACTCAGCCACACCCGAGGCCCACTCTTCAGCCGTGTCTGTGGACTCACGCTCACCTGAAGGGCTCAAGTCCAGGAGGTCTGAGAGGGCCTCGAAGGATGACACTCCAGAGTCTGACGGCCATGTGTCTGCAAAGTCCGGTGCTCAGCCATCGAAGCTGTCAGCGTACCTGAACCTCTTTGGTGACTTTGTCCACAACATGTGAGTGCTCCGCGCGTCATTAACTGCTTGCTGCGCTAACTCTAAGTTTCCAGTACAGATGGCCTCGCGTACGTATGCAACCAGAATTCTGGATGCATTCGATGCTCACCTTCTTTCGCATTGAAACACCAGCATGGCTGCCTCATTCTACTCATCCCCTCTCATTGGCGCGACCACGACGCTGGCGTGCTTTGCGCATGAAATTCCCCACGAGATCGCTGACTACTCCATTCTCGTCCGGAGTGGGTTTAGCAAACGACAAGCCATGCAGTCACAGTTCTTGACGGCAATCGGTGCCTTTGTGAGCGGCTTCCATTATGTGGCCGGCTCAAATATCCAACTGATTGGCGATTCCTGCCGTCGTCCCCCGTTTCTTTTATGCATTCCGATGTCGCACGTCATGGCTAATTCTTGACAAACTTACTACGCGGCGTTTGAAGATCGGGTGAGTTGCGTTAGGCCGCATCGCCGACTAAATGGATTGCTGACTTTCGCCGATCTCTCACAGCACGTTCATGGGAATTGCCATCCACAACCTTTCCACGTCTGGAAAGGTCGAGGCAACCACGACTGACCTTGCAGCGGCAGTGCGGCAAACTGCCTCGGGTCTACTTGGCACAACGATTCAACCGGCTGACTTGGTATGTGTCTCGAGCTTCCACTTTTTTCATGCCCACTGATCCATTTATGAACGTGCTTGCGCAGGTCATCCCGTTTGTAGCTGGAGGGTTCATGTACATTGGCGCTGTAGCGGTGTTGCCGACGTACGTGCAACAATGGCTTGGGCTCTGGTAGATTCTCACAATGAGTCATTTTTGGCAGGCTGCTTGCAGAGAGTAAGAGCGGCAAGCAGGCGCTGCGCGAGGTAAGCGTTTCGTGCTGAAATTGTCTATTTGCAAGAGAAATTCTGATTTAGGACGCGCATTTAAAATTTGCAGTTCGCAGCAATGGCATTTGGGGTGCTGTGCATGTTCTTTGTGGCGTAAGTCGTCCAGCTGTTATTTTGAGCTGAGCGTCACTCGCTGACTTGGTGTTCAGTTGGAATGAGTAGACGTAGATTACGAGTCGTGTGACTGAGTATGGGAAAATGACATTGTTTATCATCGGTGCCGCCCCCTGAGCCAAGGGTGAGGTGAAAGGGCAATTGATGACGACCATGCGTGTGTACGTAGTTTTGGCTCGGACGCAGTCCCGGTAGACGCAGATTCGGTGTAGTGAGCTGGCGTCTTGAGTTTCATTTGTGGGTGTCGAAGATCTCCGAAGCTTGTATGACCGAGTTGCTTCTGCACGACGTCAACGGCGGATGATTTGAGAGTTGGAAATGGCCAGGTGAGAGTCTGCCTTCAGGGAGCCTCTGAACGCTGAGAGCTAGCTGGAGGCTGTGATCATTGTCTGTTAGGATCAGGGCGTGAAGGCCCGGATCTCCGCAGACCGAAGAACGTGCGTACCAAGATTGGACGGGGCGGATGTGGGAACTGGCTTGTTGGGTACCGACGGCCATGTCATGGCTTACCGCGGCCGCAAAATCGAGCTGAGCTCAGACGTCTCACCAGCCGCTCCCTCATAAGACGTCGCCCCTGTCCTTTATTTCAACGCTCTCTCTCGGCGGTCGTGTGCCCCTCTTCGCGCTCCCACAAAGCCCAGCAGCCAGAGGCTCTTCGCTCCCTCGGTGCTCCAGAACTTCCCGGTTCTCCTCCTCCTCCGTCGTCTTCCCTCTTAAGCACTGGACCATCAGAAAATCCTCGGCCAGCCCCATACATAGACACCAAATATCCCCTTGTCAACAACTGCACTTATTCTATCACCTTTACTACTGTAAGACGTCAGTCGCCCCCATTACGTCCTCGCACGGCTGCGGCAACTCACAAAACATCGGCTCCGGCTCCAGTTCTCCCGCTTCCGCATTACGCCTCTCGCCCGAACACTCACCATCCATCCCAGTCCTTTAGACGTCTTTTATAATGAGCAACAAGGGCCGATCGACGCCTCGCATTGTGTGCTGCGCCATTCCTATTGCCCGCGCCGCTGGGAAGGTGCTCTTAGTAACAAGCCGGAAACGGCCAAGTAATTGGGTCTGTGAGTCCTCGAGTTTCCACCTTTCTGTTCGACCACCGCCCCTGATTCCGCTCCTTCACCCCCAACTCACTAAATGTTCCGCGTCATCCTGCGACCGGTCACACCAATGCTGTAGTACCAAAAGGAGGATGGGAGTCATCGGACGGGGTGCTGGAAGCAGCAGCCTCGAGAGAAGCCTTGGAAGAAGGTCTCACATCTCATCCTTAAACCGTCACTTCCCCATTCCTGACGCGCCTTCGTGTCCGTGCACACGTCCATTTCCATATTGCAGCGGGCGTACGTGGGACAATCACGCGCTTCGTCACGACCATACCCTCCGCGTCGTCGACATACCACTTCTATGAACTCGACGTCGCCGACCTCGATCAAGAATGGCTGGAGAGCAAGGAGCGTCGGAGGGAGTGGGTAGACTATCCAGAGGCGATCAGGAGGCTGCAGTGGAAGGCAGAACTGGCACAGGGGCTCGCGCTCTCGTCGCTCGCCCCGCGGCGGTGAATGGCTACGCGCAGTCTTGCCGGCTTCAAACGCGTCGGCGTCCGTTCGTCCACGTCCAAACCTGCGACCATCTCGAAATAACCATCGGCCAGCTGCCTTCCGAGCGGGAAAAGAGTCAGCGGTGGCAGGCCCGCACACCTCGGCAATCCCAGCATTGACGGACGCTTTCGGCGATAGCGCACATACCCCAGCACCGAGATCAGCAACTGACCGCTTCGCCGTTGCGCTATTTTCTTTTGCGTTAGCCACCACCGAATGTGCTACTCGTTCATATATTGTGCATGCATGTTATCACCTAGAGCTTTCAGTATACTCACCCACCCATCGCTTTGTCCTGAGTCGCCTTACATCGTCGCACTGCATACCTTACGCCACTCGTATTTGTTTTCCTTAGGCACGTTACACATTGCAGCAGTTCGTTTTCCGCCATCGCACACACTGCGGTCGGTTCTGCTATCGTGTATATTATCCTTCGTCGATGTATTCGACTCCGTATCCCCCTTGTTTCTTAGCGTAGATGGGTCTGGTTATTTCACTGGGTATGTGCGCTAGGGCTGTCGGGGAGTGAACTATTTGTTTTGCAGCCAGATACTCACTCTTAGTTTGGTGCTCGTAGGGCGGCCGGGATGACGTTGCTTGATGCTGCGACCTTCCGTCATCCCGAGAAGACAAAGACCGACGGGCGGCCTCCCTCGCTGGAGCTCCGTAGGTTTGTTGCAAAAAAAGCAAACGTGCGTGAGTACAATCATGTGTGATAGAAGCGATGCACTGAAGACCATACGTCTGCAGTATAAAGAGACCGCTTGGACAGCATCCGTTGCCAGATCTAGACTGGTAAACGCGAACGCGGTGCGTGTTGCACACGACCCGCTCTAGAGCTGTCCTTGTACTCTTTCCGACTTAAGTGACCACTGCTCCAAGGTCTTTGTTCTGCAAGTTATACGGACTTACAGGGACCCATATGGTACCGAAATCGACGCAACGGCGGGACTTGCCAAGCTGTATGCCTCTGGCAAATCCTTTCGCTGAGCGCTGTCCAAAGAAGACCCTTGATGGTCATCTGCTCAATGTTCGGAAGCTCCGGCATAAATCGTACGGGAGGTGAGTGTCGGTGGGCTCGACTTCCCGGAGACCCCAAATGGCGCACTCCCTCGTCCTACGAGCTCGGTCCCGCTCCTCGACACATTCGACACCTCCTTCCCTCGTACCACGCGAGCTGAAGCACCGGGCGTTCAATGTCAGGGAGCATCTTGGGAACCTGTCGTTCTATTTCCCTGTACCTGTGCCACAGGGAATGGAACCAGATCTGTCCAGGGTGGGGCCGGTCATGCTGGTACGTCTAGCCCCGCCTACGCGGCACCCGTGCGATGGTTTCAGACGGCTGACGACCGCGCAGATGCAGCGCCATGGTCCGTACCATCCGCTTGCGTCCGAGTTAGCGTTCATCGCTGGCCTAGTCGAGAAGCTTGTCAGTCACTCCACTGCCGTACGGAAGGAGAGTCTTCCCAGCAACCTCGAGTTCCGCAAGGCCGACTATGTCTCGATACCTGGTCACGAAGACACACCTGGACGGCGGCAACTGTTTCATCACGATGTCAAGTTCGCTCTGACGTATCTGCATTTGAAGGCCCCTCCTCCTCGCCGATGTACGGAATCGGCTGTGTGAACTTGTTTATGAGTATGATTGTTGTCGTGCTACAACGTCTCCCCTCGACAGTTCATTGAGCCTGCGCAATGGTTTGCAAACGGCTACTTTGGTCGGAGCTGGGACTCGCTGAACTCAACACTCTTCCATACCATACCAGAGGACAACACGGCCCGTGGATCACACCGATAGACGCGTGCATGGACTATAGGACTACATGCACGGTAACAACGCGACGGTCGCGTGCCAGTACACAGTGTGCCTCCCGCCGATCGCGCGGCGGCTCAACACGCTGCTGCCCGGCATGGTACGGCAGCGAACGACGTGCACAGCGCGCTCTATGCGTGCGCGT